TAACCACTCCCCTGCCAGCCTGTTTGCCCTTAACTGCCCACCCCTGCAGGCCTGGTACCCCTAATTGCCCTCACCTGCAGATCTGGTTCCTCCCCAACTGCTCTCCCCTGCAGGCCTGGGTCCCCCCAACTGCCCTTACCTGCAGGCCCAGTCACCCCAATTTACCTCCTTTGCCGGCCTGGTCACCCCTAACTGCCCTCCCTGCAGGCCTGGTCCCTACCAACTGCCCTCCCCTGCTGGCCTGATTGCCCACAACTGCCCTCCCTTGCAGACCTGGTCTCTCCCAACTACCCTCCCCTGCTGGCCATCTTGAGGTGGCCATCTTGTGTCCACATGGGGGCAGCCATTTTGACCACATGGGGACAGCCATCTTGTATGTTGGAGTAATGGTCAATTTGCATATTACTCTTTTATTAGATAAGATTATTGATAATATTATAGATATCTCCTATTTCCCCCTCTCTTTTACCCCATCCTCCAACCTACCCATATCCCAGGTCTTCACTACCCATTGCCCATGTCCTTGGGCTATGCATAAAAGTATATAAGTTCTTTGGCTTATCTCTTCTCATTCCCCCTTTTTTAAAAATCTGCATAGTGTAAACACCCGACAACTTTTTTATCCATTCATTTACTGATGGGTACTTGGGCTGTTTCCAAATCTTAGCTATTATAAATAACACTGCTATGAACATAGGGGTGCATATTCTATAGAAACTTTTTTATGTGGTGATTGTGCAGAGTGTATTGATTCTTAGAAATAAGCACATGGAATATGACAGAGAAAACTCAAATGGAAAAAAAAATGTTTACACAATCTCAAACATGTAAAAATTAATATACATGAATTCTGTTGTTTAATACTCAGTATTTATTTAAAAAAAAAAAAAAAAAGAACCTACTATGAGCACCGAGAAGACAGCAAAAAATAAGACCAAAATTTCTGCCTTCATGGAGCCAAAATTCTTAGAGGAGAGAGATATGTTGAGGATCAAAGGGATATTAATTATTTGGAAATGTAATATCATGAGATTTCTCCTTTATAAAACTGCTTATATTTTAAAAACCCTTTCCTCCTTTCTTTGGTATATCTTGCTTTCTTAAGAATAAAAATTTCTCTGGTCACTTCATTCAACCAATATTTGCTGAGTTCTTACTATGTGCCAGACCCTCTTCCAGGCACATAAAATACAATGTAAACAAAACACACAGGCTTTGCCGAAACCGGTTTGGCTCAGTGGATAGAGTGTCAGCCTGTGAACTGAAGGGTCCTGGGTTCGATTCCGGTTAAGGGCATGTACCTGGGTTGGGGGCACATTCTCAATGGGGGATGTGCAGGAGGCAGCTGATTGATGTTTCTCTCTCATTGATGTTTCTAGCTCTCTATCCCTCTCCCTTCCGCTCTGAAAAAAATCAATAAAATATTTTTAAAAAACATACACACACAAGCTTGGCCATTCTCAGGGATCTAAATAGTCTAGTGGGGGAGACAGAATATAAGACAATATTATAAAAACACATATATTTGAAGATCCAAGATGGCTGTGTAAACACCTAGCTGCAGCCACACACAATTTCAATAAAATACAACTAAAATATAAAACGGACATTACCCAGAACTACAGGAAAGTTGACTGATTAGAAATTCTACAGTGAGAAGCAAGGAGAAAACTAGAAGGAAGCGCGGAGGAGCTGGAAAAGCCCAAGGTACAGAGACACGCGGCGCGCGGAGAGGACGGAGCTGGAGAGGAGGGAGGCGGAGTGCCTGGCGGGTGTTCCCTAGCGGGAAGGAGATAAAACTCCGACTGTGCTGGGCCCCATTCTGACTGCTCTGAACCCCAGTTCTAGGCCAGACCCCGGGGACCCAGGCTCATCCAGAGGGAGCCGGGCTGTAAGGCGGAACCCCGGGGAAGAGGCGAAAGGAGGTACCGGAGGCACGTACACTGCGTGCAGAGAAGGGACGGTCGGCTGTGCCGCGGGATTGCCTTGGCCGGAAGGAGACTGGGGCTCTGGACTGCTCTGAACGCCACCTCCAACTCCACTTTCAACTGAACTGAACCCCAATACCAGGCTCATTGGGGGAGAGCATAGACTGTTTGGCAGCAGGCGAAAATCGAGGGCAGCTTTCTCTCAGAGGCGCTTTGCAGCGAGTACTGAAGGACCCGCATAGGGCGGGGCTGACGGAAGCCAAAGCTGCAGGCTCCACCCTGAGACCCCATCCCATCTGTAACTGCGAAATTCGACAACGAAATAGATCACAAATGAAAGAAATGGAGGACAAAAAGCGTCTGGATATAGAGTTCAAATCTACACTTATAAGGTTTTTCAAGAATTTCCTAGAAAAGATGGATAAGACCTATGAGGATATGAAAAGAGATCAACTAGAATTAATAAGGAGTCATCAAGAAATGATAAGGGATCAACAAGAAATAAAGAATACATTCTCTGAAATAAAAAAATATTATACAGAGTCCTAAAAACAGAATGGAAGATCACAAGAATCAAGTCAAAGATTTGGAACATAAAGAGCCAGACACTCCTCCATAGAAGATAGAAGGCAAGAGAATCCAGAAAATTGAAGATAATGTAAGAAACCTCTGGGACAATTTCAAGCGAACCAACATCAGAATTATGGGGGTCCCAGAAGATGAGAGAGAGCAAGATATCGAAAACATACTGAAAGAAATAGTGACAGAAAACTTCCCCCACCTGGTGAAAGAATTAGACTTACAAGTCCAGGAAGTGCACAGAACTCCAAACAAAAGGAATCCAAAGAGGACCACACTAAGACACATCATAATTAAAATTCCAAGAGCAAAAGACAAAGAGAGAATATTAAAAGAAGCAAGAGCAAAGAAGGTAGTTACCTATAAAGGAGCACCTATATGATTGTCAGCTGACTTCTCAACAGAAACCATGCAGGCCAGAAGGGAATGGCAAGAAATATTCAAGGTGATGAATAGTAAGAACCTACAGCCAAAGATAATCTATCCAGCAAAGCTATCACTCAGAATCGAAGGTCTGATAAAGAGCTTCACTAATAAAAAAAAAAGCTAAAGGAGTTCATCAACACCAAACCAGAATTATATGAATTGCTGAAGGGGGTTCTTTCAGAAGAGAAAGTAAACAAAGATAAAAATTATGAACAACAAATACGCAACTATCAACAAGTGAATCTAAAAACCAAGGAAATTAAAAAAAAATCTGATGAACAATAGTAACTGTTGAATATAATAGAATCAGAGGTATGGAAGGGGAGTGAACTGACAATTCTTGGGGAAAAGGGGAGAGGGGGGTGTGGGAAGAGGCTGAACATAAACTGTGCACCTATGAATGAGGACAATGGGGAGTGGGGAAAGGGCAGAGGGTGGGGTGGGAACCTGGTGGAGGAGAGCAATGGTGGGGGGGGGGGGGGGGAAAGGAACATTTGTAATAATATGAACAATAAAAACTTATTAAAAAAACACATATACTTATAATATATGGGTATTTATTAATATATAAAAATATGTAATTACATATTACTAAAGGCCCGATGCATGAAATTTGTGCAGGATTAGGCCTTCCTTCCCTCGGCTGCTGGCACCAGCTTCCCTCTAGCATCTGGAACCCGCATTTCCCTCAGGCAGGCACCAGGGGACTTGGGTTTCCCTCACAGCCCTGGCTTCATTCTGAAGGATGTCCAGTCTAATTAGCATATTATGCTTTTATTATTTTAGATAAGAATATAAGTAAAATGTATACAAGTTTTGATGATGACTAAGGGACAGAAGCAAGGAGGAAAGCAAGATATGAATGTCTGAGATGGCATATTTCTAGATTGGATGGTCAAGAAGGACTTTGTTGAGAAGATGACTTTTGAGTAAATTTTTTTTTTAAATGAGCATGCTAACATTGTGATTGTGTCGGGGGAAAGAGCATTCTGGCCAAAGGATCAGCAAATCCAACAGCCCTGAGATAAGAATGTTCAAGGCACATCAGGTGGTCAGTGATTGGGGTATAGTGAGCTAAGGAGAGAGAGGTAGGAAATGACCCTGATGGTGTAACAGCAGACCAGATCACATCTGGCCTTTGAAGTCATTGGAAGGATATTGGCATTCTTCCTAATAATGAGAAGCATTTGAACAAAAGAGAGATATGATAAAGAGTGCATTAAATAGTTCCTGCTGTTGAGAATAGACATGGACAGAGGGAGGCTTTTAAGAGACCGTTGGCATAATCCAGGTGAGAGAGGATAGCTTGAACCATTGGAATAGGTAAGATAAGCATCTTGAGTGGTGGGCAGCATGGAGGAAAGGATGGAGGTGTGGCAGAATACAGTGTTCCCCGTGGCACAGCCCCTGCCACAAAAAGGCAGAAACTCAGGAGCAGACTCTTTCTGAACCGTCGCTCTATCCCCAGTGGGAAGCACAGTGTCAGGCACATTCTAGGTGGTTAAATGTTACAAAACAAAAAAGGAAGGTAAAACCAAATATCTATTTCATGGCTGCCTTCTGCACTCTCCTCACCACTTTTGGCCAGAGTCATTTTCCTTTCTTTCGCTATTTATTTATGAATTAGCACTTTTAATGTTTATTTGTGTCTTAAGAAGCCTTTTGTGCCAAGACCGGTTTGGCTCAATGGATAGAGCGTCGGCTTGGGGACTGAAGGGTCCTGGGTTCGATTCTGGTCAAGGGCATGTACCTTGGTTGTGGGCATATCCCCAGTAGGGGGTGTGCAAGAGGCAGCTGATCGATGACTCTCATCGATGTTTCTAACTCTCTATCTCTCTCCCTTCCTCTCTGTACAAAATCAATAAAAATATATATTTTTTTTAAAAAGAAGCCTTTTGTTTTCAATGACCTATGTTAATTTAAAATGACAGATGAGTAAAGATCCCATTGAACCATTTCTTTCCATCTCATACCTCTATGACCTGGAAGCACCATTATTGTTTTTCATCGTGAAAGAGCCTAAGACTGATTGTAACAGAACATATTTTATTTATTAATTTTTTTTAGGGAACAACTTAATTCTTTATTGAAGACCTATAACATTTTTTATGCGAACCAGGAAAATCTGCATATTTCATATGGACAGGTAAGCCCATCAAATAAATTAAATACAGTTGATTCACAGGAAAAAAAAATTCTATAAAGGTCCAGAAGAGTTGGGATGAGTTGGAGTTCATAAGCCAGTAGCACAAATGGTCTGAGAAACATGTTCATCTTTAAGTTGATCATAATTTCCTTAAGTATATCAATAAAATCCCAGTCCTGGGACATCAATAACTTACTCAGAATTTTGGGGGGAAATGAAAAAATTTAAAATAACGTTAATGACATGTGCTTTCAGCAATTCTACTAGAAATCTGTCCTAATACTTTCTTACGAATGCACCAGGAAGTATACAGAAAGCTGTTTACAGTGATATCGTTTGTAATGGGAAAAATTTTTGAAGGTATCTTTAGTCTCTATCAGTGGAAAATGACTCAATAAATCATAACTATATGGGATATCTGTAATAGAGTCTGATTTGGTTGTTAAAATACATGATCATCAAAGTGCATGCATACCATATTATAATAATACACTTTCAAATGTTAAAGAAACAATTCAGGAAAGTCCTGAAGCTAGAAAACATTTTCAGGAGTGCAGTTGATAGGCTACTGTACACACTGACCTTAAACCAACTTCCCTCCCTCTTCCCTCCCTCCTTCTTCCCTCCCTTCCTTCCCTCCCTTTCTTCTTTCTTCCCTTCCTTCCTTTTTTCCCTTCCTCTCTTCTTTCCTTTCTTCCTCTCTTTCTTTCTTCCTTTCTTCCTTCCTTCCTTCCTTCCTTCCTTCCTTCCTTCCTTTCTTTCTTTCTTTCTTTCTTTCTTTCTTTCTTTCTTTCTTTCTTTCTTTCTTTTCTTTTTCTCTTCTCCTTCATTCCTTTCAGTTGAATGCCTTATTCTCCACACCTCTTTCTACAGTCTTGTGTTCTAATGCTACTTGCTTCCCATTTTTATATCTTCCTGATCCCAGGGAATATTATCATTTTCTAATATTCTGGTTGAAATCTTCAATTATGGTAGTAGAACGCTGACTATAGGTCACCATGATTTGGCTTAAATCTGCATTTGGGTCAGAGGATATTTACAAAGCACTCTAATGTTTACTAGTCAGCTTAAATAATTTACTTCAATGGGGTATTTCAAATAACTTCTCAAATGTAATTATATACAGAAGAACAACTGATCCCTTTAAAAAGAAATGGATCAAATTTTAAATAATTTCAATACCTGAGAGATCTCTAATATCTATAATTATAAAAATGTAAAATTTAGGAAAAGGTAAAAACTTTAAGAAAATGATGATTTACATTTTAATTCAATAGTTCCCACAGAATTCCTGATGTTTAGAAGTTTGTTTTGTGCTTCCTTCATGCTGCTTAAATTCCAGTAGGCAGATAAGAAACAGGAGTAAAATGTATGGTATGTCAGATGGTGACATTGGCTGTAGAGAACACTGAAGTGGGGGAGCAGGCTCCAGAATCTAGGTGGGGTGAGGAGAAGAAAAGATATTTACTTACTTAGTGGGGAGGAGAAGAATTTAACCATGGGATCTGAACAATGTGAGAGAGCAAACTTTGCAGAATCATAAAATTCAGGAAACGCTTTATCATACTGTGCCCTCTGTTGGGCGCATCATCGTCATTGTGACTTACTTCACTGGTTATAGCTGTTACCAAAAATAAAATATTTTTTCTTCTTTTGTTAAATATTTCCAACTTAAAAAACATTCCTCCAATGCTAAAGTAGAATTCTTTTGAAGATAAATTGAAAAGCCAACCAATCCCACTTAAAAATTTATTCTTAATTTCTACATCTTCAGTTGAATCATTTACCTTCTATAAATAGTACAAAAAAGAATCTTTGAGATGCTTGGTTTCTTCCCTAGACTGACGATGGTAAACTAATTGTTGAAGGAATGTTGGACATTTTCTGGGGAGTGAAACGGCCTATACAGCTGAAAATACAAGATGAAAAGCAAATTCCTTCTTTTACTGTGAAGTCACCAGATGCCTTTTCCAAAATGTAAGCTATAATTCATGTTTCTAATTCTTTTAATAACCTGCATGTTTACCTTTATTGTATGCACTCTTACAGATGGGAGCACTTGTAAATGCTCACAGACAGTCTCACTGAATCCCTTAGCAACTCTATGAAGTAGGTGTTCAGAAACCAGAACTCGGAATTCAATAATTATGCAAGATCTCTAATCACTAGGTAGCAGGACTGGACTGAACCTCAGGTCTATAGACTGGAGAGCCCATGATCTTGATTTCTCTGTTGTATTGCTTCTCTCTCTCCTTGAAGACTGCATGTTTTCATTGGAAAAAAAAATTAAATGTATAGGCAAGATTTTATTATCCCTGGCCTGCTCGCGCTCACGCTCGCGCTCTCTCTCTTTCTCTCTCTCTCTCTCTCTCTCTCTCTCTCTCTCTCTCTCTCTCTCTCTCACACACACACACACACACACACACACACACACAAAGAGGATACAAATTCATTTTTAAATTTATCTAGAAAAAAAGGGCTCTTTCTGCTTTCTGAAAAGTAGATTTAATTATGCTCCACCTGATTGTCCTGACCCTGTTCAACAAGGCACAGCAAGTGTAGCTGAAGTTCAATAAGTGTACAAAATAGTTCTCTGTGTGGGTTTTTGCACCCAGACCTTGAATAATAAGTTGGGCTGATTTTTTTATTACCTTTCATTATTTTTAGAAAAGCAAATAAATATTCTCAAAAGGAATCAAATTTATATTTTTTTCTGTTCTTCCACTCGCCCTTCCTCCTTTTTATTTTAATTTTTATTAAAGCATAATTGGTATACAATATTATATTAGTTTTAAATGTACAACATAGTGATTCAACATTTATGCATCTTACTGTGTAAACACTACACTAAGTCTAGTAACCATCTGTCACTGTGCAAACTTATAACACAATTATTGGCTATATTTTTCTTTATCTTTTTTAACCAATTCCTCTACCTTCCTCCCCTCCAACATTCATTAATTTGTTCTTTGTTTCTGAGTCTGCTTTTCTTTTGTTGGTTCATTTGTTTTCCTTTTTGAAATTCCACATATAAGTGAAATCATGCAACATTTGCCTTTATCTATCTGATTTATTTCACTTAGCATAATACCCTCTAAGTTTATCCATGTTGTCTCAAAATACAGGATTACTGAGTAATATTGCAGAGTGTGTGTGTGTGTGTGTGTGTGTGTGTGTGTATGTGTTCTTTACTCAGTTATCTATTGATGGGTATCTAGTTGCTTACGTGTGTTGGCTGCTATAAATAATGCTGCAGCAAACATAAGGGTACAAATATCTTTCCAAATTAGTGTCTTTGTTTTCTTTAAATAAATACCTAGAAGTGGAACTGCTGGGTTGTATGGTAACCATAAAACTTAGAAGAAAACATAGGTGGTACACTATTTGATATAGTATCATTTTGGATATAGTCCCTACAGCAAGGAAAACAAAAGCAAAAATAAATAAATGGGACTTCATCAAACTGAAATGCTTCTGCACAGGGAAGGAAACCATCAACAAATGAAAAGACACTAAAAGAATGGGAGACTATATTTGTAAATAATATATCTGGTCAGGAATTACTATCCAAAATATATAAGAAACTCATCCAACTCAATAACAAAAGAAAGAACAATTCAATCAAAACATGGGCAGAGGACATAAAAAAAAACATCTCTCCAAAGAAAACATACAAATGGCCAAGAGACATTTGAAAAGATATTCAAGATCATTAATCATCAGTGAGGAACTACTGCACACTATTATCAAAAAGTCAACAAATGACTTTTAACCAGAAATGGTGACAATGTGAAGAAAAGGGAACCCTCGTGCAGCCATTATGAAAATCTTATGAAGATTCCTCAAATAATAACAATAATAATAATAATAATAATAATAACAGATCTTGTATCATCCAACTTCCCTTCTTCTTTAATCCTTGAAGTTGCAACTCATCTTCCTTTTGTGTGTGTGTGTGTGAAGGTAGTAAACCTTCACCTCACTCATCACCCATCTATAGGTAGATGGCCAAGAGTTCTACCAGAGCAGAGGAGAAGATGGAGAGAGAGCCACTAGGATTATTTCCCCAATCTGGTCTTGAACCAAAATCAAGAAAAAATAGCTTGCACCATGAGGGAAGCTCCACTTTTCCTTTGAAGATAACACTGAAGCCCCATTATGTGCACCTTGCCAATCTTTTTCAAACATGATGCTCCAGCAAGTCTGAACATTTTTTATTCCCTTAATATAGCATATAGTTTCTTACTCCACTAACTCTCTGCCTGGAAGTCTACCTGCTTTTCCATACTTATTTTCAGACTCTTCTACTGATGCTTATAAATCAGGTTGGATAACACATTCCCCAGAAAGTCTTTTTTAATACCTCAGTCTGTACTAGATGCACTGACAACTTTTCTATACCATTTCAGACCATGCCACTACCTATATTGTTATGCACCTATCTCCCCATCTTGCCTTTAGGTTCCTCAAGCATAAGGAGTATATCTTATTCATATTTGCTACCCCATTACTCAGCAGTGTGCTTAACACAAAGAAGAGACTCAAATATAGTATTAAATGAAGCCTGATGGTTAAATTACTTCCGTTGTGAGAATTCTCTGTACATATACTACTTCTGACTAGTCTTCCACCCAAGCTAAGGATTGCCAATGGGCAAAGGGTCCAGGACTTATGGAAGAGTGGAAGGGAGACCACAAACCTAGATGAAGCCCTGTATCCCTCACCTTCATATTCTATGTGATTGATGGAGCTGATGATTCTAAATGAGTAGGAGCATCATTGAAAAGGTGAAATTACCCTTGGACCCTGCTTTTAGAAAATCGTACAAGATATGAATTTGGCAAAATTAGCTATCATTCTTCATATTGCCTTAGAACTTATTGCCAAGTTCTCTTGGCAGTCAGCTCCTTTTGATGATTTTATTCATGAAAACTTGATAAGTATGGAACATTATGGGAAGATGTCAAGGGGATGCAGTAAGACATTGTATTATCACATTAAGTTGTCATTGTTTTGAATATCCCAAGATATTTTTTAATGTGTCAATTTAAAATATAAGGAACTTAGTTCCTATAAATCCTGAATTTTGGGGTACGTTTTAAGAGTCCAGGTAGAGAAGGCAATAATAATGCCTCTCCACATACTGTGGCAGATTATGAATGACCATCCTCAGGATGTATTTCCCAGAGTTTATCAGAGCTTTGCTGTGAATGAGACAGGAATTTATCTCTTTAATTTAAGATTGAGAAAGAATTACCCAGAAAACTGCTTGATTTTTACTACAGTAATGAGAGCTATTGGAGAATGTCTGAGTGCACACTTGCAGTGTATCAGATAGTTCTGGTGGGTGAGGATTGTCAGAAAAAGATCCCACTCCTCTCTTTCACCCACACAGAGCAAGAATAGATTCAGCTGCAATTAATTAGCGAGCATCTCTCTTGGGAACCAGCTGAACACTCAGCAGGAAGGTGCAGCATTATTCAGGTCTGCCCCCTGGCCTACGCTTTCCTAGTGGGTGGCAGAGCCATCTGAGGTTCTCCTCCTTGTTGCACTCCAGTGCTAAACACCCTCGATCATTTAAATACGGAGCTCAAATGAAATTGTGAAATGAAATGAGCAGAGGACATAAAAGACTGTTCCCTCACTCTGTAGAACTGCTCTCATGTTCCCTTCCCCACTCTGGGTTTCTATCGGCAGAACTTACACATCTGCAGCCACAGGATCACAGATTTTGTAGCTCCAGTGGGTGAATGTGGAGTGAAAAAAGGTGTGTTCTCAGCTGCAGGAAGCACTGCCATCTTGCCTTTCAGTTCACCCCTTGAGAGATTCATCAGTTTGTTACACTAGTTTGTTTTAATTACATTAGAAATGAGTCACACTGAGTCAGCTTAATGGGAGTGGTAGAAGCTTAAAATAAATCAGTTCTTTTGAGCTGTGGCCACTTGTAATCCTTTATAGAATGAGTTCTATAGAGAGTACTTTGATCTCTTATATGTGGTCCAAGTATTTTCTTTTGGAAATTAAAAAAAAGACAGCCTTATTATGTTGTTTGTATCAGTTTTTCTTTCTGCATTTCATATATTTCCAAAGTCAGCCTTGACACATTTTGGACAAGTCATAGTGGAATGAAATAAAGAGCAGAAAACTGGACAGGTGTACATTTCAATAATATCAATAGTGGGGGGATTTCTTACATTATGGGTACAGAAGTGACATCTGCTATTTGCCTATCAAATTTCTACCTCCTTTTTCTTTTGCAACTCATTAGAAAACCTACCCACAGTTTAAATTTGCTAATGGTATACATCCTGAAGCTTGGTCAAAGCAATGCAAACAGTCTCCTGCTGGGGCAAGTTAAACTATTTGATATTACATAAAGTTGTAGTCGGGTTTTTTTTTTGTTTTGTTTTGTTTTGTTTTGTTTTGTTTTGTTTTGTTTTGTTTTGAAAACTCTGGGTAACTATCTTCAAACTTGGTCATGTGCACAGCTGTATATGTTGGTACTTCAAATTACGCAAACCAGAGTTAAAATTGGTGTAGTCTCCTAAGATAGTAGGAAGAAAGGGGGGTAAACACTGCTTATATTGAGCCATGTTTGTTTCCCGGTAGTAGTGTGACACCACTAAGCTATAAGAAAGTGAGAATGGGTGTCAAGTCTGCCAGGGTCCCCAAGAATGTATAGTACATTACTGATCTTGCATTCTTTCTCATTTCATCGCCCCCATATGAAATAACATCAGGTTGCTTCTCCTTTATGGTTTCTGTTTTTCTTCAGTAGTCTGCTTTTTCAATTGCTACCCCCTTTTTTATGATAATTGTATCTTCCTCCTTTGTCTATTAATCTTCTATACATTGTGGAAAATGAATAATTTCATTTATCATAAGAATAGATTCTGAGTTAGGACCTGGATATTTCTCCTTTGTGTTAAAGTTAATATTTATAGTTTTTGGACATTTACAATATTTGTTTTGACTGACTATATGTTAGATAGTAGAGTTCACTGGAAAACTAATCAATAAACATATTAGGATCCCCTTATTTCCTTCCTAAGGCTATTGTGAGGCTCAAATGATATAAAAATTGTAAAAAGACCTCTAAATAATTCAAAGATCAAGGAAAAAAAGAATCACATTTATTTAGATTCACCAGCACTAGTTTTCTTTTTTAAACTTTTATTGAATTTATTGGAGTGATATTAGTTAATAAAATTATACATATTTCAGGTATACACTACTATAATACGTCATCTGTATATTGTATTGTGTGCTAACTGCCTAAAGTCCAATATCCTCTTCACCGTTTATCCTCCTTTGCCCTCTACTACTGCCCTTCATTTCCCTTTCCCTCTGCTAATCACCATACTGTTTTTTGTATCTATGAGTTTGTTTCTGTTTGTTTGTTTGTTTATTTTGTTCATTAGATCCATATGTAAGTAAAATCATATCATTATTTGTCTTTCTCCAACTGGCTTATTTTACTTAGCATAACATTCCATGTTTGTCCATGTTGTTGCAAAAGGTAAAATTTTCTTCTTTTTTACAGCTAAGTAGTATTCCAGTGTGTAAATGTACCACACCTTTTTTACCCACTCATTTACTGATGGGCACTTGGGCCATTTCCAAACCCTGGAATAACACTGCAGTCAACATAAGGGTACATATATTTTTTCAAATCAGTTTGGGATTTCTTCGGATATCTTGCCAGAGGTGGAATCACTGGGTCACAAAGCAGTTCCATTTTATTTTTTTAAGGAAATGCCATACTGTTTTCCATAGTGGCTGTACCAATCTGTATTTTCACCAACAATGCATGAGGGTTCCCTTTTCTCTGCATCCTCCCTAGTACTTGCTGATTGTTGATTTACTGATGATAGCCATTCTGGCAGGTGAGAGATGATATTTTATTGTGGTTTTGATTTGCATTTCCCTGATGATTAGTGACATTGAGAATCTTGTCATATGTCTATTGGCCATCTCTATATACTCTTTGGAGAAGAATCTATTCAAATCCTTTGCTCATTTTTTAACTGGATTGCTTTTTTTTGGGGGGGGGAGTGAGTTTTATAAGTTCCTTATAAATTTTGGATATTAACCCCTTTTCAAAAGTATCATTGGTGAATACGTTCTCCCATTCAATGGGTTTTCTTCATTTTGTTGAGGGTTTTCTTTCTGTACAAAAACTTTTTGGTTTGATGCATTCCCATTTGTTTATTTTTTTTTCCTTTTGTTTCCCTTGCCTGAGGAGACATATCAGAAAGAAAGAAAAAATATTGCTAAGAGAGATGTCAGAGATTTTACTGCCTATGTTTGCTTCTAGTAGTTTTATGGTTACAAATGTTACATTTAAGTCTTTATCCATTTTGAGCTAATTCTTGTATATGATATAAGAAGGTGACCTAGCTTTATCTTTCTGAGCGTGTATGTTCAATTTTTCTAACACCATTTATTGAATCATCTATCTTTATCCCATTGTATGTTTTTGCCTTCTTTGCCAAATAATAATTGATCATAAAGGTGTGGGTTTATTTCTGGACTATCTATTCTGTCCCTTGGGTCTATATATCTGTTTTTCTGCCAGTACCATGCTCTTTTGATTGCTGTGGCTTTGTTGTATAGTTTCATATGAGGTAGTGTGATTCTCCCAACCTTGTTCTTTTTCTCAAGATTGTTATTTGGGATCTTTTGGGGTTCCATGCAAATTTTCAAAATATTTGTTCTAGTTCTGTGAAATACACTAGTGTTACCTTGATAGGAATTGCATTGACTCTATAGATTGCTTTAGGCAGTATGGACATTTTAATGATGTTGATTAATCCTATCCATGAACACAGTATATGCATCCACTTATTTGTATCTTCTTTAATTTTCTTTCTTCTGTGTCTTATAATTTTCCAAATAAAGGACTCTCACATCCTGAGTTAAATTTATCCCAAGGTATTTTTTATACAATTGCAAATAGGATTGTTTTCTTAGTTTCCCTTTCTGATAGTTCATTATTGGTATATAAAAATTCAACTGATTTTTAGATATTTGTTTTGTATCTTGCTACTTTGTTGGACACATTTATGAGTTCTAGTAGTTTTTTGACAGAATCTTTAGGGTTCTCTCTATAAATACCATGTCATCTTCAAATAATGACAATTTCACTTCTTCCTTTACAATTTGGATGTCTTTTCTTTCCTACTTCTTGTCCTATTGCCATGGCTAGGACTTCTAATACTATGTTAAATAAAAGTAATGAAAGCAGATACCCCTGTCTTATTCCTGATGTTAAGAAAAACATTTGTTTTGCTCATTGAGTATGATGTTGACTGTCACATATAGCCTTTATTATGTTGAGGTCTGATCCCTCTATTCTCACATTCCTGAGTGTTTTTATCATAAATAGGCTTTGGGTTTTATCAAATGCTTTTTCTGCATCTATTGAATATGTGATTTTTATCCTTCATTTTATGTGGAGTATAACATTTATTAATTTGTAGATACTGACCACTAATATTAACAAGCATTTTTTGTTGCAAACAGAATTAATCCCATAAATACCCTATGGGTGAATATGTTTTGGTCATAAGGAAAACAAACATTACAAAAGAGATTTTAGTAGAAAGAAGACTGGTCCTATCACTAATAGTATCCATTAACCTAGAGAGATCTGGGGATAGCTTAGATCTCTAATGGCTCCTGTACCATCATGAATATGATACAGATAATGGTGATTATGATGAGGATCATAGTGAAGGTGAGGACCATTATGATCATTTAACACATACAGAGCGCTTACTATGTGTTGGGCACTATTTTAAGAATTTTACTCAAACTAGCTCAATAATAAGCAGTTGCCTAGTTTTATTTATTGTAGACATTAGGATGCTTTGGCAATTGTTAGCATCCCCTATAAATCATAATTTTCTAGAAAAGAAGTTTCCATACACTTATCTCCTTTGTAAATTGCATTCTTCATAGTTGTCAAAACCTTGACAATAGGCACCATACCTTATTATTTTGGAGTCACTTTACCTATCAATGCTTTGGAAAAAAACAAAATAGGAATTCAATGCAGGTTAACAGAATGAACATTTTTTTGTATTTAAACTCTCTTAGAGCATTGTAAGAGCATTATATTTAAACTCTCTAAGAGCATTATAACCTGTTACATTATATTTAAACTCTCTAAGAGCATTATAACAGGTTATGTTGGTTTGTACCAGTTCCACTTGCACATCCATTTTATAGAATCTATGTAACCTGTATTTCTATGTATTGAATTATTGTGTCAAGATATGTTCAAAATAAGTAAATGAAATATTTAAAATACATGCTGTCCACTCTGGTATAAATATTATTTTAATAATGTAAAATTGTTAGAAATCAGGGTTGATATATCTACCAAAATAGAGGCCCACAGTACTAATATAAATGCTATAAGTCTGAAAACCATCGTGGACCTCAATATGAATGGAATTGATGTCACTTATAAGACTTATTATCTTTCAGGGGAATGACACGCTGGGGAGAATTTGATGATCTTTATCATATTAGTGAACTGGATAGGAATGAGATTCCAGTGTCTGAAGCAATGAATTCCCAGGAAGGTCAGTGTCAAAATGTTTTTAATGAGGGGCCTTTAAAGCATGCATTATAAATGTTTCTCTGAAGTCTAACATTTTACACACTACTACATAATAAACTCTTATTTTATGTTTTTTAAAAAAAGGCTTAAATCATTACAGTTCTGGTGAATGTTTAAGAACATTACTTAGCTCTAGAAAAATGATAGTTTTTAAAAATTACATTAAGTCACTTAAATTTATTAGATTAGGAAGAGCTAAAGGCTTGAATTAAGTTTGTTCCCAGAAAATTGTTCAATATTTTTTCCAATAAATAATTATGATTATTTATTATATTCAATAGCTTTTTTGTTAGGTCATGCATCTCAGACTGAACTTCACTTCTTTTTAGAAGTTGACCATTTTAGTTGGTATTTACATAATATTGCTTCTCAGAAAGAGGCAGATATACTGAGGTCACTATTTATATTTGATAGAGTTATTTCAAGCATTTGTTTTAAATGAGAAAAATCTACTTGAACATCAAATGAGTTCATATCAATTTGCCAAACCAATGGAAAATGCCAGCACCTATAAAAAATGGCATCAATAGTAATGACAATAATAATTTATGTGATATTAATGGCTATCATTTACTGAGACTATTGAGTATCAGTTATAATATCTTATATTTTACAAAGATTTTGGTTTTTGTATAATATATAGAGATCCAAGAAGGAGTGTAACTGAGGCTGGGGGGCGGGTTCATATTTCCAGTGGTGATATTACCAAGTTGGCTTCAGACTGAACAAGGCTTCATATTGATATGACCTTCCTGAATTTACTGACAACTTCCAATGTTTATTTATTTTTTCAAACCATTCTTAATTCAGCTTCTTCTGCTTTCATGTAACAAATCATATTCTATAACAAACATGATGTCCTTCCAGAATTCCCTGATCCTTGTCTCATGGCTTCTTGACATCTTTTAAATAAGGATCTTTCCAATTAGCACCTTAGAAAAAAATATTCATTTAAACCCAGGGGACTCTCAATATCTCGATGCCAAAAATATAATAAAAATCTATTTATTTGTATTTGAGGACCACTGCTAGAGAAAGATGAAGTGTCTCATGCCTATTTCATGATGCTCTAATTACAATAGAAAGTTATTTAAAATCTCAAGGTAAAATAGAACACAAATGCCACCAGCAGACCCTATTCTTACATAAGAGCATTGCTATTCCCTCGCTGTTTAAAAGCATTAGAGTCCATTGCTTAGTTACGTATTACTAAATACATACACAAATCCACGCAAGATGCAAAGAGGTGGGCGGTTAAATGATATGTGCCTATTATCTTTATTCTTCCCAGATTATTTATCTTATCACAGCAGCACTATGAAGCCTCGTGCTGATGAAGAGCCAAAATCTCCATTGCTCTATAGAACCATGAGTGAAGCAACCCTGGTGAGAAAAAGGATGAAGACTCCAATGATGGACAGAAAAGACAGACAGAAACATAGAGCTTCTATTAATGGACACTTTTATAACCATGAAGTGAGTTACAATTCTATTGGTGTCATTTAACATAGCATTGTCTATTAAGCTAACAATAGCATTCAATTCATCTTACAATTTAAATAGCAATAGCCAATAGTAGTTGTATATCTAACTAGAGGCCCAATGCATGAAATTAGTGCAAAGGTAAGGCTCTCGAAGCCCCAGCTGCCTTGGCCCTTACAACCCCTGCTTCATCTAGAAGGTCTTCTAGAAAGTCGTCTGGATGATTGTTCTGCTGTTCGGCTGATTTGCATATTACCCTTTTATTATTATAGATTATTATTATATTGGGTAGGCTGTGTGTATGAATTAGGTTAACTATTTAAGTTGATTTTTTATTATCTCATTAATAAACTGGTTCAAGAATTATCCTCCTGGCCATAAAGTAACACTAACAGTCCCCAACAGATGTGCAACTACAGATCTCCTGTTCTTCCTCAGAATTATGTTGTGTGTGGTCATCTCATGTTAAAGAAGGCTGTGAAAGCCACATTGTACTAAATAATTGGCTTCCAGATGGGATCCTTGTACTAAGAATGAAATTGGCACTAAGTTGGCTGTGTAGCATAGGGTTACATGATTCAGTGCTTGGGTGCTATAGCTTAATGACCTGATTTCAAATTCTTGTTGAGCAAAATAAAAATGTATTGAATCTCTTAGCCTCAGTTCCTTCATCCTTCCTACTTTACCAAGTTGTTGATGTGATTAAATGGAATAAGGTGAATTAAGCATAGTGCCAAATACAAAGGAAGGACTCCATTTACATTTGCTTTATTGTTGTTGATTAAAAGAGATCAAGCTGGGACTACAGGTATTTCACATACATGTCATTCACTGCCATGTAATAACTAGGGAAAAAAGGAAGGGTGAGGGAGAGAAAGAAAGTTAGAAAGAAAGAAAACCCCCAAACTCAAAGCATCCTATCAATGGGTATACAATTCTGAACATCTATAAACTTATATTGATATAGCCTTTTTTTGTGAAAGATATATACTTTTAAAAAATATATTTTTATTAATTTCAGAGAGGAAGAGAGAGGGAGAGATAGAAACATCATTGATGAGAGAGAATCATGGATCAGCTACCTCCTGCATGTCCCCTAGTGGGTATTGAGCCAGTGACTCAGGGATGTGCCTTTGACCCAAATCGGAACCGAATCCTGGACTCTTCAGTCTGCAGGCCAATACTTTCTATTCACTGAGCAAAACCAGCCAGGGCTGATATAGTCTTTAAATGTGTTTTTATACCATTAAACCTTTTAGTAATGCCAGTATTGTTAGGCTGTGGATAACATCCACATTAGATGCTTACATTGTAATATTTGTGACCAATTCATGCCTTACAATGTCCTCAAACATTGAATTTTCTCCATACTTAACAAAAATTTATCCCAAACGTCCTCCATATATATACTTTGATTTTTATTTACTGAATCTCTCAATATAGGACTCATATATCTAACATTCCATTAAACAAATCACCCCAAAATTCATATTTTCTTTGTCTCCCATAGTGACTTTTGATTTCTCTACATACTTCTACTCAGAGAAAATATTTGTCTTGCTCCTCTTTCTACTGTAATCCATTGATATTATTCTTATTTTGAAGTCCTATTTGAATGTTTTTCTCCACTCACTATTCTTTTTTAAATTTTGAACACATATTTATATCATAATAAAGTTAATTCTGTCTATCTATAGTTGTTAACAAAGATTAAATTTGTATTTATAAAGGGCTTAGACTAGATCTTGACACATAGTTACAACTATGCTAAATTAATAATTGCATGATTGGAAAAAATAAAATAAAAAAATTTACTTGAGAATTCTATGTCACTCTTGGGAATAATGTCATTATTTTCATGAATTATATATTTTGCCTAATAAACACTAATTTGCTTACATATTGACTTACCTAAATAGATAAATCAGCCCTTGCCTATGTACTAACACATCTTAGTCCCTGTGTACATACATAACCATGAAATATCTATAAGTTAGGGAAATCCTAACTAAACAAATATTGGTCAGCATTTTCCAAAGTATGTGCCATTGGCTATTAATAGATATACTTAAAAAGGATATTACTTGTAAGAATAATGATCAAACTGAGAGTGAAAAATTTATGGTTATATGCTTGCACAGTACATGAAATTCGTGCATGGGTACGGTCCCTAGGCCTGGCCTGCAATCAGGGCCATCTTTCCTGGCTGTTGGCAGCGGGCCCCACCCCTGCCGCCACCCACCCCCTGGTTGCCTGTTTGCCATCAGTGATTGGAGCCTGCTGGCTAGGGGGAAGGACCAAGAGGTTGGTCATTCCCACCTGCTCACTGGTTCTGCCCCTGACACTGGTCACGTCCTGTGTAAGAAGGGTGACCAGAGGGACGGAGACCTTGGCCTGGCACCACCCACATCTGCCGCCACCTACCCTTGGCTCCCCCGGTGGATCAGAGCCTGCTGGCCAGGGAAGGGACCAGCAGGCCTGCACCTGTGGGCTGAGAGCAGCTCCTGAATTCAGCATCTGCCACCTGGTGGTCAGTGTGTGCCATAGTGCCTAGCTATTCCGCCTTTCAGTCGACTTACATATTACCTTTTTATTATATAGGATTATAACATTTTTTATGGTGCATTACTAACCCCCAAGAGGAATGTCTTAGACTTATCTGACCACAGAAACCTTTTATCAAGTATCATCTAGAAGGCAGATTCTTGAATAGAGCAATTTATTGGAAATATTGTTCTAGATTTTCGATCGGTAGCACTTTTACTCCAAACCTTAGTTGAGATATAGGCTGAACCATATGAAATTGCCAACATTGGATCATTTCTCACCAAGCAAAAAAGAAATGATTTTATAAGGTTCAAACTGAAAACAATTTAAAACAATTATTTCTAATGAGAAGGAAGGTGTGATATGTGTTTAAAAAAGTCTATTCATGTAAATTTTTATTTGTTTTTAGTTGTAATAGTTAACTTATTTTGAAATCTTAAGTTATACTAAAGAATTGTGTAATTATTAGTGAAAATATTTTGAACATGCTCGAATAATGTTTTACCTAAGTTACTCTAGAAACAACACAAGGCTGCTTAAAAGGAGACATAATAGCTGAAGCCGGTTTGGCTCAGTGGTAGAGCATCGGTCTTCGGACTGAAGGGTCCCAGGTTCAATTCTGGTCAGGGGCATGTACATTGGTTGTGGGCACATCCCCGGTGGGGAGTGTGCAGGAGGCAGCTGGTCGATGTTTCTCTCTCATCGACGTTTCTAGCTCTCTAACTCTCTCCCTTCCTCTCTGTAAAAAAAAAAAAAATCAATTTTATATATATATATATATATATATATATATATAGAGAGAGAGAGAGAGAGAGAGAGAGAGAGAGAGAGAGAGAAAAGGAGACATAATATTAAAACAACAAATAAAGCAAAAAAAGGAAAACAAGCTTTATATAATGGTGACATTGGATTTTAATTTTCTTGCCCAAAGGACAGTTTCAAAATATTGACTGTTATTACTTTGATGTAATTTTAAAGATTTATATTACAATATTTTTTTTTCTAGACATCAATTTTCACCCCAGCCTTTGAATCAGAAACTAAGGTCAGAATAAACAGTAACATGAACACTGAAGAAGTAATAAAGCAACTTCTTAAAAAATTTAAGGTAATTTTTATCACTTAATTGTGGTATAAATATCTTGTATATAATTTAACTATAGACACCTTAATGTGTTTGTTTGAAAAAGACCTATGAACCTGTAAATCTAAAATCAATGTTCAGTTCTGAAGGATTCTTTCCTATGAGTGATACCTTTTATTAATTTTGCCCTGAGAAATTACATATTTCCCAGGGAACAGAGAAGGTTTGATGCTTAAAAGTGAAAAATGAAAGGGAGGAAATAGGTACATAATTTGGGTCTGGTTGGCTTAGAAAACATCACATGGCAACAGATAATTCACTTCTATTTTTTTTTTTTTCCACTGACAGATTGAAAACAGTGCGCAGGATTTTGCACTTTACATTATTTTTGCAACAGGAGGTAAGAAAGCTTGATCACCTTTTTACATGTTCCCCCTGTGATACAGTGTTCTGCCCATAGGGAAGGCAGGAGAGCAACTGACTCCATTTGTGAAAGGATGAGAGAGAAGAAAGAAAGGAGGGGAGGGTGTTTTGTAGGAACCAAAGATAGGGTATCCTGGAGGAGTTTATAATACAAAAAAGTTTGCTTGTTGGCAAACATCCAATTATCTGAATGGTGATCAGAGCCCTTGAGAATCCATGAAGCTTCCCAGGAACTGTTAAGCATTTAAGTCATCATTTCTTTTTGGCTTTTCCTTCTTACTGTAACTCTTACTGGAGTCATCATTACAGATGATTTTTCTCTGATCTTGCTTTTATCTCTTTCTTAGTAGAATGCCTGACACACTGTAAGAGTGTTACTCTTCCTCAATGGATAAACACATTTGGAACGTGGTGGTAGACCTTAAAATGTTAGAACCAGGGCATTGGGAAGGTGCTATGCATCAGATGCTAGGAGCAGCAAGTGAGAAATTAGAGAAAACCCCAGGTGATACTCAATTTTTTGAAAACCTCAAAATTGAAAACATTGGAATGTTATATCCCCGGTTATAAGTGTAAGCCAGAAATAAATAAAATAACACATTTTGGTGTCAGAATAACTATAAGAAAATTAAAGCTGGCTCTCAAATATATTAAAAAAATAAAGCACTATTAAAAGCTTAAATGTTAGAAATATATATAATATTTGAAAATTCTAAGGATATATATATATATATATATATATATATATATATATATATTCTAGTTTAGGAAAAACATTGAAAGGTTTAAAAAGGAAGAAAAAATGTAAAAAATATAAACAGTAAATTATGAAGAATATCAGAAAAAAGATTAGTACCTAAAATATCAAAGAGTTCTTATAACCAATTCAATAAAAACAGAAGGAAGTTTGACAAAGCAATTCAAAGGATAAAAAATTAAAATGACCAATAAAGAGTTTTAGGAAAAGTCTTAAACTCAAGGAAATACAAATATTCAAGGAAATTCAGTAGTCAAGGAAAGGCAAGTTCAATCCACAATGCATTATTATCTCATAGTTATCAGATTGGCAAAATATTTTTAAGTGATTCTATCTCTGGCTAGTGTAGATCAAAGTAAAGGATATTTGCATGCAATTCTGGTAAATATATGACTTTCTGTGCTTTTTCAGAACTCATCACCACAGTATTTATTAAAATTTTATATATATATATATATATATATATATATATATATATATATATATAAAATCACTTCTCCCAGCAATCTCACTGGTGAGAATTTATTTCACAAAAATAAAAACACTAATATCTACAGATTTATGTGCAACACTGTTTATAATAACAAAAAGCTAAAGACAAAATTACTTATCATAGGGGAATCCTATATAATAAAGATATAGTATGAAAATTGACCATCACACCCTCACAAATGGCTGCCCACAAATCAGGCCAGCAGGGGGGTTAGTGAGGGATAAATGAGATCACAGATGTGAAAGCTACTTTGATAGAAGCTAGAAGTGCTTTTGTGGTAGAAGTTAGAAATTAGAATATACCAAATGGCTGTTATTTTCTTTCTTATCTCATTATCATGGCTGTTATTTTCTTTCTTATCTCATTATCATGGCTGAATTATCACAGATGAAGGAAACAGTAAAAATATTCTGAGGAAGAGCTAAGGATTGGATGTAGAGTAAGATAGAAAGGAAGACTTGAAGATAATTTCAAAGTACTGGATCTGAATAACTAGAAAGATGGCTTTTTGTTCAACAAAATAGGAAAGAATCAATAAACATTTGTTGAATAAATGAATGAGTGAATGAATGAAAAATTATAAAGGATTTTTGCAGTGTGTTGCTTGATAAAAGTCATAAATGGATCTGCAGATTTTTCTGAACATCCTAACCAAAGGCAAGATTGAATTCTTGGAATCAAACTTTGAGAATAACAAGAGAAAGGAGTTCATTTTTAGTTTATTTCAAGGTTTTAATTTCAATTCAACTCTTTTGAGTGAGTGCCTCCTTTGTACATGGATTTTTTTAGTTCTTCTTTCAAAGCAAGCTAAAGAAAAAAAATGAATAGCCCAACTACCTTTCTTCTTTTCCCCTAGTATGAACTCTTGACTACTGTTGGTTCTTGTTTTCTTTTGCAGAAAGGAGACGGCTGAAAAAGACAGACATCCCACTACTGCACAGGCTCCTGCAGGGACCCTCCAAAAAGAATGCTCGCATTTTCCTCATGGATAAAGATACAGAAGAAATTAGCAGTGATGTATGAATACCATCACCCTGAGTCTGTCTTTGCCTGCTCCTGACTGAGCACCTCTCACATAAATATTCTGCTTACTTTTTGTGCGTTTTATTTTCAGGTGGCTCAGTACATTAATTTCCATTTTTCTCTCCTGGAATCCATCCTTCAGAGATTAAATGAAGAAGAGAAAAGGGAGATTCAAAGAATAAAAACAAAGTAAGTCAAGAGCAGGCGTGCTAAAGTGCTTGTTCCTTTAGTAAGTTCAGTGTGCTAAATGTGTCCAAATTGTAATACTCTTTTTCTCCTTTTCATTTTCAGATTCAGTACTGAAAAGGCTATTATACTGAAATGTCTGCGAAGTAAACAGGTAGTAAAAACAGAGACGACTGTTTAGTGCCTACTATTGCTGAAACACTTCAACAAAATCAGAGAGATGTTACTACTTCATGAGTCTGTCCACCCTATACTTGCATTCATGCAAATATATATGAACTCAGCTTATAGAAAATCGAATGTTGAAAAAGCTTGTCTCTCTCAGAGGTGAAGTTCACAGTGGGACTGAAATGAGCTTGAATTTAGTTTCAGTAACTGAAATAACCTTGGATACTGTGTATTCCAAATAGCGTTCATAGAGAAACAACGAACTGGAATTTAAATGGCTCCTTCAACTTCATGCAGTTTAAGTGTCATTTAGCTTGAACTGTAAAGAGAACTGGAATATCAACCACCAACTCTCAGAAATGATTCAGAAGTCAAAGCTGCCAGCTGTGAAATAAAACAGAGGCATATACTTCCTCCCACCAAGAAATCTGATAGTGACTATCTTATAACTCCTTAAAAACTCTAATATTTTCATAAAATCTAGGGCTGTCTTTATATGGGTAGGTGACTTTTAGCAATCTGCAGCCTCAGAGCTATAAATCCTTTGGGAAGGAAAGGATTATGGACTCTTAAGAGTAATTTTCTCAACCTGAGCCCCCTTTTTATTGCTGTTTTATTGATGACTTTCTTAAAAATGTTTTTAGGTCAACAGAACTAGTTTTCTTTATTTTTCCCAAACATAAATTCCACAGGACTTTACATATTTAACCAGATTGGCCAAGACTTGGCCCACAGTAACCATTGTCACTGAATGAACACAAAGGAATATGCAAAGCTCTAAAAGCTGAATCTAGGAAAGGAATCTGGAGTTCTGCTCTTTTTCTCTAAGACATCCCATTCTAAAAAAAAAAACAGTGCTCAAGGTATTTACAAGTTGCTAAACCAATTTGGAAGAAAAAACACAAAACACTGAGAATGGCAGTCTCATCTGTGTTTTTATTTATGAAATCTATATTAAAATGGAATTCTATGCAGCTTTCTTCCATTCTGGAAACTACTTCTATTTGCATTTCTCAGATCCATTGTATTAAACTGTTTGGGTTTCGTGCTCGGTGCCCAATAGGGAGTGTGCAGGAGGCAGCCGATCAATGATTTTCATCATTGATGTTTCTATCTCTCTCTCCCCCTCCCTTCCTTTCTGAAATCAATAAAAATATTTTTAAATAAATAAACTTAAAGCGTCATCAAGTATCTGTCATAATATGACAAAAGATTTACCTTTAATATATTGAAAGTCTACAGAATCCATAAGAAAAATACCCAAAGTGACAGATTAAAAACAAACAAACAGATTAGATGTAAAATAAAATCACAGAAGAGGAAATGCAAATGGCTACTAAGTATATGAAAAAGTTGTGTCTTAACATAATTATTCTGTGTCCAATCAGGAGACAGAAACCACACAGTCATTTAAACACAGGTGTTAGGTATAAAGTATTATTAAACTGTGATAGGAGAATAATTAAAAGATGGAAAGAGAATGCTAAAGGGTTGCCTATGGCTGAGGAAGAGTGCTCCAAAAAGGAAAAGCTTGGAACAAGGGATTCAGAGTTCAATGGAGAAGGTGTGGTTGCAATCCACTGAATGGAGAAGAAGTTGGCTGGGTGACCACACCCAGCAGGGCCACAGCCACAGGGCAAGCAGGAAAACAACCTCTGGGAGGTGGACCAGCTGGGGCAGGTGGGCAGGTATGCAGAGAGACCTGGGACTTCGCTGCAGGTGCGAGGCTCAGATCACACAGGGTCTATGTCTGGAGGTCCCCGGGAAACTGTTTAGAGGAACAGGTAGGCTGAGCAGCAGGGTCAGCACAGAGCATCAAGGATGCTGCTAGGACTGGAAGCTGGAAGGGCCTCCTTTGAAGAAACCTAGGACAACTCTGTGTATGATTTGATTCTGTGGCATCTTTAAGGCTGCATGGGACTAAGGCCTGGCAAGTGGCTCATTAGATGGCCAGCCCACAGGGCCCTCTCGGGGAACATGAAACAAGTTGAGGAGAAGGTGCAGACAGCAATGATTTGAGTAGGGCACAGGCCTGCACTGAGGCTCCAGACTATGCCACCACAAACCCAATCAAAAACTGGGAAAGCAGTGGGCGAAGTAAATGCTAGAGAAAGCTGCGAGCCACTGGAAACTAGCACTGGGCAGAGCAGTGGAGAAAAAAGTTGGCCACCCAGCCAGCCAGGAGGAATCAGGAAAGACAGACTTCTTTCCACGGTGCTTCTCTGGTGCCCTCTGCTGGCAAATCATGGCATCCAAGCTGCAAAGAAAACATATTTAAAGGGCCCATAGCCCTTTCACAAAGCTGACAGCAATGAATGAATTTGGAACAGAACAGCAAAAATAACTGGCATGTCAACAAAACACAAAGTAAAGTAAAATATGCTTTTGGGCCTATTATTAAAACAGTAAAGATTAAAAAGTGACAATATTAAATACTCAACAAATTACAATGAGATGGACTCTCAAACTACTGTAGAAATACAAATGTATATAACTTGAAAGCAATTAAGCTATAATTTCATATTATAATTCTATTTTTAGAATCATATTGAAATAATCAGTCATACAAAGACATTATGAAAATATACTTACTATATTCCTATTTATTGTTGTCAAAAGAAACAAATAGCATAATTGTCAAAAATAGAAAAAAGATGAAAGAAGAAAAGAAATAATTATCCATAGAATGTTATACAGCTATTAGAATTGTTCCCAAATAAATTTTAATGATAGGAGTAAATTCTTCTTATGTAAATAAGACTATACACACAAATATTCTAAAATGTTTCCTATCCATAAAATATGTGTTTATATGTGTGTGAACATTGGTATTTGGACATACAACTCACAAACTAAAGACATGTTCAATGTGGTTATGTCTGGATTATAGAATTATCAATGATTCACTTTTTAAAATTTTTCTTTGCTTATTAAATGCTAGAGGCCTGGTGCCTGAAATTTGTGCACTGGGGGGGGGGGGGGCGGGGTAGGCGGTTGTTCCTCAGTTCAGTCTGCATCCTCTCCAATCTGGGACCTCTTAGGGCAGTGTTTCCCAAACTTTTGACATATGTGTACCCCTTCTATAATTTTCGTAATGCTGAGTACCCATCATACTCATGAGAATGTAGAATTTGGCGCAGCTAAGCACTGTGCAGTGCATCTCCCCACCAAACTCCGGTGCAATGCATACACCCACCAAACTCTTCCAGTACCCCTGGGGGAACGCATACCACACTTCAGAAACACTGTATTAGGGGATGCCCAACTGCTGGGGATCGGGCCTAAACCGGCAGTTGGACATCCCTCTTACAATCAGGGGCTGCTGGATCCCAACTGCTAGCCTGCCTGCCTGCCTGATTACCCCTAACCACTCCCCTGCCAGCCTGATAGATCTTAATTGCTCCCCTGCTGGTCCAATCTCCCCCAACAGCCCTCCCTTTCCAGCCTGATCGCCCCTAACTGACCTTTCTCGTAGGCCTGGTCCCCCACAACTGCCCTCCCCTGCAGGCTGGTTGCCCCCAATTTCCCTCCCCTACAGGTCTTGTCACCTACAGCTGCCCTCCCCTGCCAGCAGTCTTATGGTAGCCATCTTGTGACCGCATAGGAATGACTATCTTGTGCGAGGGTGTGATGGTCAATTTTCATATTACCTCTTTATTATATAGGATTTTATAATGAACATGTATTACTTTTTAAACTAGGAAATGGAAAAGCTATGATTAAAAAGTTAACAAAAAATAGCAAGTACATGCAAAGAGTTCTACTACATGCTAAAAAGTTCAACTAAATTACTGAAGTGAGGTATTAACATCGCTTCCGTGGTAGTTTGAAAATATATCCATAGTGGCTTTACACTCCTCTTTCAGGAGGTATAGCCTAATCTTCCTCACCTTACAAATGGATTGGACTTAGTGACTCAACTCCAATGAATAGAGGAAAGCGGAAGTGATAGCACGTAACTTTGTAGACTGGGTCAAGTCATTGTGGCATCTTCCTTGCTCACCTTCATGGACCGCTGGCTCTGGGGGAAGCCAGCTGCCACGTTCAGAGCAGCCCTGGGGAAAAGCTTACATGAGGAGAATAGAGACCTTTTGCCAAAATCCAACAATGTATTGAGGCCTTCCACCCATGGCCATATGCATGGGCCATGAGATAGCCTTCGTCAAGCCTTCAGATAATTACACCCGTCTAATTGCTATAACCTCCTGAGAGACCCTGGCCCAGAAAACTCAGCTAAACCTTCCCTGGATTCCTGACTCTCAGAAACTGTGTGAAATAAGAAATATGTGTTGTAGTATGCTGCTAAATTTTATAATAATTTGTTATGTCACAATAGATAACTAATACAATTTCTAAGGCAAAAAAAAATATTTTCACTTCAGAGTCATCTTTGCAAAATAAAAGAATATAAATTTTTGTCACAAAACCACTTATACTTGTTTTAATGGTTCAGATGTTTCACCATCAGTTATACAATAGTTCAGATTCAATTCCAGATAATATACTTATTGATAGAGGATACTTTGGATACTTTGCTGTTCTTATTGTGTATAGAATGTGCTCAATAAAAGTCAACTGAATAAAGGCCTGAGTGAATTAGTGAAGAAGTAAATAAATTATCTGAAATATTTTTATAAAATCGCCTGTATAGTCATCCTTTTTCACAAATATGGTCAAGCTGCTGAAGAAGTACAAACAGAGCCTTTTCTATGTGATTTCCCCTGATATGATGGTAGTTTATTATCTCTTGGCTGTGCGAAATATTCAGATATTTCAGTGTCACTATTCGGTGTTACTGTGGCATCTTGTTTAGGGCTATTCAGATAGGTTTCAGAAAGGGAAGGTGGCAAAGTCCATTTGCAAGGCAGTAGATGAGGTGGTAAAGCTGTCAGGTTTACTATTATGTTGGTATATCTACACATGAAAGAAAAAAGTAATAGGATGCAATTATAGAGAACAAAAACCTTTAATGGCATGCATTTGTCTTGTAAATTAATATTTAGTAAGCACTAAAATATTTCAACTTTATTTATTTATTTATTTATTTATTTATTTATACAAAAAAAAGAGATCTGGAATAGTAAAAAGCCCATGGTAAATTCTTTATGCCATTTATGCCAGGATTTCTGGGGAAAATACTATTATAAATTGTCACTGAACGCTCAATTTAATTTAAATATATTAGGATCCATTGGTTCCAATGTCTGTATCATGTATATAGCATAAAGATGGAAGACAAAATAATTATGAAAGTAACTTTATTACAAAGCACACTTGATTCAGTTCTTTGATGATCACTTTTAGAAGTGGAAGAGACAGAAACTCCAGTTGCATTTGGGATAACTTTTACTCCAAAAACCCAGTAGCCAGTTTCCAGTGGATGTGACAACCCACTACATCTACCTGAGGCTCCTCACAGGTACCTTGAAGTCCTATTTCTGTTGCTGATTCTAAGAAGCGAAAGATTATGGGGGAAATGGAAATGATAGTGGGTTGTACAATAAGTAGATTTCTCTGCTGAGTAGGAAAGGAGAATTCAGTGTAGACTGGCTCATGTTCTTGAGCAATGTTGTGAGTAGCTGAAAAATAATTGCTGGTTTGAATATTAGAACTGGGTTTCGTTATTTGTGAAGAATAAAATGCAGATCCCAGCAATCATCCTACATTGACATTTCAGGAATCATTTAGCCTCCCAAGAGAGATTGGCACTTTTCTATCAGTTTGGATGCCTAAGGAAAAGAAGAAAATAAGCACATGTGTGAGAGAGGAAAAACAAACAAAAACATTTAAACAATTCTGACCCCTATATAGAAAATCTTTAAGAGTTCCCTATTTCACTCCTGAGTTGGGCTCTGAGTGCCTGCTTCTCACTGTCTTGGAATTTCTCACAAGCCTAGTCCTTTAGCTTAAGGATTTAATTAACTGCAATGTTTCTCCCACTTTCAGAACCCCAGACCTGTAATAAATAAAAATTTGCTGCCTACACACACACACACACACACACACACACACACACACACATATATATATATATATGAGATGCTTTTGCTGCAAGGCAAAATGGACAATCAACATCAGCTTCTTACTGAATTTTAAAATTGCTCTAGGCTAATTTTGTGCTAAATCATCACACAGAAATTCAAGAGAAACAAACCCCTAGAATAGATCAGAATAGCTCTATCCCCTTTATATATACTGCTATAAACCTCTACATAAATTTCAGCAGTTTTCCCCAATTTTTACCTTCTAGATGTTATTCTAACAGAAATTATTTGTGATAAATAAAAGTGAGATTTTTAGTAAAGTAGGATGGGACGCTCAGAACTCTACTGCTAAGATAGAGAGAGAGAGAGAGAGAGAGAGAGAGAGAGAGAGAGAGAGAGAGAGAGAGAGAGAGAGAAAGAGAGAGAAAATAAAGGACTTAAACTCCTAAGAGACCCTAGGATCCTATGGAAAATGATTAGAAGTTGATTAATTTAGTCCTTCCTGCCCTCAAATAGCACCATATTTGAGTTATCTAGAGAGATTAGAATCTATTTAGACTCATTTTTTAAAAATACCTCTGGAGTTGAAGTATTATCATTTCTTTGGTAAGCCATGATTTTTATATCAATCTTCATAAGAACTTTGCCATAAGCAACCTCAAGATTCTCATATTTAATCTTGCTCCTTTTCTCAGAATCTAACAATATTGGGAGAACTCATATTTCTACATATCAGTCTTTCCTGACTTTATTTATTCCATAGTTTCTTGGTAAATTTGTAATTTGTTATGATAACAAATGCTGAGAAAGGAAGGAGAAATTTTTCCTAAAGATAAGAAAAAGGGATGCACTGGAAAGGATTACTATAATAATGAAGATTGCCCTGAGGGAGGTAAGAAATGATAACTCCACATTTTGAGATAAGGCCCAAGCTAGATTTTGAAATACAAAATATGGACTTATCTGATGAAATGTAGATAACAGAGAAGAGAAAAAGGTAACATCTTTCTTACCCTGAGACCAAATCAGCCATTCTCTGATTTCCCTTAATTCTGGAGACTGCTAGCATGTTACCCTTCCTAAGACTTTGGGATAAACACTACCAGTTTATTTCTCCATATCCTTTGGGACATACTTTTAAATCCTTTTTTCCATTCTGGAAACTCTTTGGACATAATTTGCCAATATACTTTTAAAATGTGTTGTCTCTCATATTTTCCAAAATTACAATCCAATAACAGTAAAAATGTACAAAATTTATTTAAAAAATAAAGCCCTATCAATCCCATATTAATGTAAGAGACATTAATGAACTTCTGAGAAACCAAAGGAAAGCCTTTGATATGATTTTAACTGATATACCAAAAGTGCAGAAATAGGAGCTCAGAAGAGTAACCTGAAGTGGTGAACCAGCACTAAAAGATCAGAGAGTCATTGAGTCTGAGCTACTTTGGCTCCTGTCTGCTGCCTAGCCTATTTTTAAAACTTCCTAAAGATTCCTGAAGACACCACTATCCATTCAATAAATTAATTTTTACTTAGGTTAGGTACAAATTGATCCTGTTATTTACAACTAAAGAATCCCAACTGACATAGCATCAAAAATACTGTGCAAATATATGTATAAATAATATTTAAAAATATGAGGACCCAGAAAGCTGATCTCCCTGAGACCATTTAAAAAAAAATACATACAGCCCAGCTGGTGTTGCTCAATGGTTGAGCATTGACCTATGAACTCGGGGGTCATAGTTTGATTCCTTGTTAGGGCACATGCCAAGGTTGTGGGGTTTGGTCCCCAATGGAGGGCATACAGGATGCACACCATCATGATTCTCTTTCATCATTGATGTTTCTATCTCTCTCCCTCTCCCTCATCCTCAGAAATCAATAAAAATATTTTTTTCAAAAAAGAAAAAACATGTACAAAAGTAAACTTGGCCAAACTTTAAAGATGATGCATAGTTACCTATAATAAACATTTTAGAAGTAATTCTAACAAATTTTAATGAACATAATATATTTTTTAGATCACTGCTATTATCTCCTTTAGTATGGGAAGAAACCCTAAGAGAAAATAGAAAAGGAAGGGGAGGGAAAGGAAAACTATTTGGGCTCTTCAACTATTTGGTTGAAAATTACTATTAGGCAAAAAGTGTGGGGGAAAGCACAAAAAACCTTGCTGTCATGCTAATGATGAACTAGAATCTATTAAATAGATGAAGCAAGCACAATTCCTACTCAAGAGCAAGAAAACTTTCTTGGGAATGCCCAGCACATGCTCTTCTGCAAAAGAGCTTATTTGTGCGGCTATGGGGTTGTTACTCAGGTAGATACATGTTTTCTGAATACTTCACAAAAAAGTAAAGAGGCTTCAAAATAACTAAATAAATCCTAGTATAGGTGATTATTCTCATTTTGAGTATCAGCTAGTCTGGGAGTCAGCAAAAAAAATTTTTTTCTGTAAACAGCCAGATATTAAATATGGAGAGTTTTGCAGTTACCACAGTCTCCTAACACAATTTAATTCTGCAACTACTCAATTCTATTATTATAGACAGAAAGCAGTGGTAGACATTATGTAAATAAATGGGCATACCATGTCCCAATACAACTGTATTTACATAAACAGGAAGTGGAACCAATTTAGCCTGAGAGCTGTAATTTGCCTACTCTTTACTTGACCATAGATATATGACTTTTTAATATAATGCACATAATATAGCTGAATAGGTAGAAAAGAATTACTGAAGGTAATTAGGCATTCATGAAAATCGTTACCCATAAAAACATTTTCCTGGGCCATTGCTAAACTTAGCCCCAGTCCTAATCAGCCCGAGCTGGTTTTACAGTTTTGACTATAAAGGCTGTTTTATTATTATTTTTTAACTTTATCCTTGCATTTTTCTGCTTAGATACTATTAGCTACTGTATCCGAGTTTCTGTTCCTCAAGTCAAGTTATGTTGGAGATCTGTTTCTACAGAGCAATGTAACTCGATTGTCGCAGTGAGTCAGAACCCACCTACATGAGCACCTACGTCACTCACATGGAGCACGTATACAGCAGTAATGAAGTGAACAGTAAAATAAATTTAAAAGAAAGATAACAATTCCTGATCTTTACTTGTGGTGAACAAGTAATAAAAACAAAAAGCACATATGTAGATATGTCAAAATGACGGAACTTTTTTTTTTTTTTTTTTTTTTTTTTTTATAAATAAATGGGAGATGGTGATGTAACCACAAAAGAACGTACATCAAATCCGGTATAATCCGAGGACTGTCTGCATAGATCATATAATAGAGTTATCTTATTGGTCATAATGCATAATAAGATTGTGTCTGATTGGCTAATTCTTTGGACCAGAAATCCTCATATACAAGTATAGGCCACTGCTTTTTTTTTTTTTTTTTAATGTCACATTAGAGCAAAAATGGTAAGTAATTATTATTATTTTCTTGTAAATCAATCAAAATTATACCTGTTTTTGGTCACATAGGCAAAAAGCATATTTTTATATGCTGAAGAATTTTAGTAATACTTTATGTGTGCCATGAGATGAAAAAGTTGAAAATTGCTGATCTATTTTTCCTAATCCACTACAGATTGGAATGGAGAAAAGGGGTTTATTGTTGTTTTTTATTTTGTTTTTTAACTTTAATAAGTCCTAAGAGTGTTAAGAGAATAGACAAGGAGACAGGAATACCTCTTCTTGGAAACATGTTTCACGTTTTTCTGCTTGGCAGCACATCTTCACCAGCTGAGTAAAATCTGCAATAATTGGCTGGAACTGCATCTCTGCTGCATATGGTCTCTGCTTCACAAGGTTGCTGAGGAGCCTGAATCAGAAATGAGTTGCAAAAATAAAAGCACCCCTGATTTCTATAAGAATAAACTCAAAATAGAGTAAAGGTTTAAATGTAAGACTCGAAACCATAAAAGTCTTAGGAAAATACATAGGCAGTAAAAATCTCTGACATTTCTGTTAGCAATATTATTTCTGACATCTCCTCAGGCAAGGGAAATAAACAACAAAAAAATAAATGGGACTATAACAAACTAAAACTTTTTGCAACAAAAAAATAAATGGGACTATAATAAACTAAAAGTTTTTGCACAACAAAGGAAAGCATAAAACAAAGAAAAGATAACCTACTACTTGGAAGAAAACATTTTCCAATGACACATCCAATAAGGGTGTTAATAATGCAAAATTTAGAAAACTCATACAGCTCAACACCAAAATGACAATACAATTAAAAAGTGGACTTGACATTTTCCTAAAATGGACATACAGAAGACCAATATGACAATAGATATATGAAAAGGTGCTCAACACCACTAATCATCAGAGACATGCAAATTAAAATCACATTGGGATATCATCTCACATTGGCCAGAATGACTATTATCAGTAAATCAACAAACAACTATTGGTGAGAATATAGAGAAAAGAGAAACCTGATACTCTGTTGGTGGGAGTTTGAATTGATGCAGCCACTGTGGAAAATAGTATGGAGTTTCCTCAAAAAAATTGAAAACGGAACTGCCTTATGACCCAGCAATTCCATTTCTGGGTGTATTTCCAAAGAAATCCAAACCACTAATTTGAGAAAATATATGTATCTCTATGTTTATTGCAGCATTATTTATAACAGTCGAGCTAGGACGCAACCCACATGCCCATCCGTAGACTCAGTAAAAAACAGTGATACATATATACAAGGGAATGTTACTCAGTCATAAAAAAGAATGAAATCTTACCACTTGTGACAGCATGGGTTGCCCATGCTGTCACAAGTGGTAAGAGGGTATTATGTTAAGTGAAATAAGACAGAGAAAGGCAGATACCATATGATTTTTATTTCTATGTGAAATCTAAAGAACAAAACAAACAAATAAAATTGAAACACTCATAGACACAAAGAGCAGACTTGTAATGCTTTTGGATGAGAAAGAGTAAGGAGGCCCAGGGGCATGTGGGAAGGGCAGGAAGTATGGTGTGCACTATATGGGAACTGACCCTCTGTCAGGGGTTGGAGGACTTTCAATGAATCCTGATGACTCAGAGAAACCAGAATTTCACCCTTTGGCTTTTTCTAGAACAGTCACCTTTTGTTGATGCCAAATGGGCTTTCAATATCACATCGATCCTCAGCAGAATTCATTCTAAAGGAGAATGCCTGGACTATGGGGATATCTTGGCTCTAGGCTCAAGATGGGGTGGGGTGAAGAGATGGATAATTGATACCACTAAGAAGGATATATATTTTTTGTCTGCAGCAGCAAAGAAATAGCCCCTTTTCTAAGATCTGATCATAAGTGTTCCATTCCATCTATCCAAGTGTATGGGATAGGGGAAACTTGGGGAAACATCAGTCCTTGTGAGCTCTTAATCATCTATGCTTTGGGTAGCCAGGGAAAAGAGCAGCTCCCCTAGGTGTGTGTGTTTGCTGCATGTGCTATTTCTAAGGCTAAGCTGGTCATGCCTCAGCCCTCAGTCATGGTCAGAAGTCTAAGGAAGTCTCCAAAATTATCTGTCATCATATGATGCTTCTACATCTCTATTCTGACCCATCTCCTACTGACCCTCTCTAACTCATCCTCTGTCTCCTTTGTAGCTTAGGCTTTCTCGTTTAAAAACTTCCCTGTATCCAGCCTCTTTTCTTAACTTCTCTTTCTTGCTCTATAGGAAAATATGGCTCCCCAGAGGAAACAGCTTTCCTGAGCCTCTAAAAAGGAAGGCTATTTTTACTTGAACTCCACTTACCTTACCACCTAGTTTTCTTTTACTACTTCCAACACATCTTTCCTCCAATGTCTTTTAAAAGCCATAGTTTCTTCTAAGTATATGTCATCAAATTTATAACATCCTCCATCTATATCTATTCCTGTCACACATAAGAAGCTTAGTCATGCCACCTAATTTTTGATGGCCTTACACCCAATAAATTGCCTCACTTTCCATCATATCTTGACATTCATCATTGTCTATAATTTCAACAACTACATTAGTGATTCACATGAGACAGATTGATTACAAAAATGGACTTAATTGTCCATATTTCTCTGTATCCATGCCCTTTACATGTGACTTTCCAACTCTGCTTATGAAGAAGTAACATCTATTTCTATATCCTTTTAATCTGGTCCTGCAGAATCTTAGTAGATTCTATGGCCCAGATGATGGCAAGTTAGAACTACCCTGTTTCCCCGAAATAAGACAGTGTCTTATATTAATTTTTGCTCCCAAAGATGCGCTAGGTCTTATTTTCAGGGGATGTCTTATTTTACCATGAAGAAGAATACGGTACACATTTATTGTTAAATGAAAATAAAGGAAATTTATTACCTGTATATGGTATGGTAGTACAGTAGTTGTCAACACAAACCAGGCAAACTGTGAATCCTACAGTAACAAGAATTTACTCATTTATTCAATGACAATCATGTCATCATCTTTTGGAACATCATCATAACAATCTAATTCCTGAATTTCCTGGTGAATTTCTTGTGACTCCATTTCTTTCAAAACCAGTGGACCAAATCTCTCATGTTTAGCCTAGGGGGGGCCTTATTTTCGGGGGATGCCTTATATTTCACTCAGAAGGAAACCTGTAAGTAGATCTTATTTTCAGAGGATGTCTTATTTTCGGGGAAACACGGTAGCTAAATAGATTATTGCATAACTTCTCCAACTTCCACGGTTAATGGAAGGTACACATTTCTGAGAAGAGCAAGAATCAAACTTATTTGATCATGAAACCCTATTTTTATGTACTTACTTCTATGTCAATATTTTCTGATTAACAGACTTCAATCTCATTTTCTGATCAAGTTTGGGCAGTACCCATAATAGCCACAATTGAAGAATTGCATAATATTCTCAATTCTACTTTACCTTTTAACGTATTTAGCAGCTCCATTCATTATGTAGCACTTAATATCTGCACCTGCTTTATGGTTCTCTATACTTGCTTCTTTGTTGACAATATTGAACAAATTCAACGAAAATTCTTACTTTTGCTTTTCAGTTTGTATTTCCTCCTCTTGAGCTTTGCACAAGTCCTCTTTAAGGCTGATAATTTGGTCACAGGATAAATGTAGAGAAATATAAGTTCCATCAACTTGAAGATCATCAAAGCATAGCTTTCTGAAGGCATAGGAATCATCACAACAGTGACCCACACCAGCATTGATAGGTTGTGTCTCATGTCTTCTGCACAAAGCTCCAAGAATTAGCTTAGCCTTTCCCAGAAGAGAATTAAAATAAGAGCCATTAGGTTTGCAGCTGTTATTTTCTTACCCATAGAAAATAAAGTTATATTTAAGTATTCTAAAATTCTATTGCCTGCTCTGTCAGCCTTGAATTTACTGGTTGGGGGGAAAGGAAGAGTCAGATGCAGCCTAGTTCTGAGACTTGGCTTCCCTCCTCCTTATCATCCTCAAGTTGAATTCACCCTATGAATCTCTGTATCTGGATGCTCATCTCTGTCCTTTATCACATCTTTTAATCAACTGATAACCCTAAGGAAGTGTTTCCCAGAGTCATATGTGTCACTCTAGCAAATTAATCAAACCCTAGATGGAAGTTGTGTGAACCTCTGTCTGTATGTAGCTAATCTGTCAGAAGCACAACCTAGATTTGTAATTGTCATCTTGTAGAATTGAGCCCTTAACCTTTGCTATCTAAGGCTCTTTCCTGGTGGATAATATCAGGACTAATTTAAATTGTAGGACATCCAGCTTGTGTCACAGAGAATTGCTTGTTGTGGAGAAAAACCCACACATGCCTGGTGTCAGAAGTGTTGTGTGATAAGCACTGTGAGAATAAAGAACACAGGAGGAAGACTGGGTTCTTCTTTTTATGCATTTGATTAGGATGAGTTAGTCTAAAGTCAGCATTATCTTTGCAGTTTCTGGAAAAATCTTGACTTGGGGTGGTCAACACACAATACAATATACAGATGATGTGTTATAGAATTGTATACCTAAAACCTGTATAATGTTATTAACCAATGTCACCCAAACAAAATAAATTTAAAAACAAATAAAAAGTCACTTTTGTTGACTTAAAAATTCAAGAAATAGAACAAGGGGTGTGATTCAGGCTCAGGCCTGTTGAGTCTGATATCCCCAATGTTAGGGAAGTGATATCCTTATCCCTGTTGCTAATCAAAGCCCACCCGCGTGAGCTGCCCTGAAAGAATGTCTCCTGGGGCTAGAATGACTTCGTGTTTACTTGTCCTTGAAGTTCTAATCTCTAACCCTCAGCAAGCACAGGATATATCTATGACCTGTCCATAGAGCCTAATAATTCTGTCCCCAGGAGAAATTCTTTCAGGTGAGCTCATGCCAGTTGGCTTTGATTAGCAACAGGGGTAAGGCAATCACTTCCCTAACATTGGGGATATCAGACTCAACAGGCCTGAGCTTGAATCACACCCCTTGTTCTATTTCTTCAATTTTTGTTCTATTTCTTGAAAAAACATGTGCTTACCGCATCCTCCATGCAGGCAAACTGCTGTTCATCACTCAGAGGGCAACATTTGGTGGCGGCAGCCGCCATGTTCTTTGTGAACATGACCAACTCTTGAGCAAATAGTTGTGGGGCTTTCTTAGCATAAAGGACCAGGAGCCTGAAAGAGTAAGTTCCTCTCACAATTGCTGTATGCCTAAAATGAATAATTCTGCAGAGTTTTCCTCAATATCTGACATTGTCTCTGATTGAGGTTGAACATGGCATTAAACTGGGTTTAATTGTATCCTTTTACCTTGTTCCAATAGCCCAGTGGCTAATTCAATATACCTGGCATTCTCTTCCAATCTCACACATTGTAGTGTTAACTATGTTGCCTAGAGAAGGATTAACACATAGAAACACTGCCACTCTGGGAGTTTCTCTCTAGCTTTCATGCGACCTTATTTATGTGGAATAAATAAGTTTATGTCCCTAATTAAACCGGTATTCAGTAAAATCCTATTTTTCTGTTTCTGTTTACTGGGACTATTCAGCTTTATATATATTTTTTTCTCTCAATAGGTAATATTTGGAAAAATATCACTGTCATTTATAATGTAGAGATGTGAATATCCATAAAAGTTTTCAACTTGTTTCTGTTAAAACTGTATCTTTAGAAATATAATTTGAATAGATTGGTCTTGTCAGACTCTGAAGACTTCAGTAATTATTGTCTTCGAGACAAATAACCTATACAAAAATTTTGCTCTACTTATGAAGGATAACTATGATAGCTAATTTGGATTGCTGCAAAATCAAACGTGAACAGTTTCCAAAATAAATATATGTATAGAACATTCAAGCTGTTATTAGTTGTCTACAATGTGAAAGAATAGGTACTACAGCAATGATCAGGAAACAATCAGTAGAGATCACACTCTAGTGGTGAGAGAGACAAATACACTTGGCGGAGTGAGAGGAGCACAGAGTTCTGTAGTTCATAGAATGTAAGTGCACAGAGAAATTGGACAGGCCTTCTGGAGGAAATGACATGTGAGCTGAGATCTGGCAATAACTAAAAATGAGCTGGGTTAAGGGGAATGAAAGTGGAAGGAGAGCCTTTTGGAAGTCATTGCATATGATTTTTTCCCCCTTGATTGGGGGGTAGCTGTAGAAAGGAGAGGAAAGATAGCTTAGTAACAGAATTAGATTTGCATTGCTTTTAACATAATCATGGTTACTGTATAAAGAATAAATTGGAGCTAAAGGCAAGGAAGTGTGAGTGAAGAAAAGATCTGGAGGCCATTCCAGTCATTTAGGTGAGAGATGGTTGTAGCCTGAGTAGGAGAATGGTGGTAGGAATTGAGGGATAAAAAGAGAGATTTTAAAGAGAAACACTCTAAAGACTTGGATTTGAGGAGCATAAAAAAATCAGAGTCAATTCTTGCATTTATATTATAATGGAGTTGGGGAACAAATTTAGCTACAACATCCAATAAAACAGTCATCCTAACCCAGTGGTTCTCAAATTGTGACTCCTGGACAACCTGTATCAGCACAACTGCGAACTTGGTAGAAGCCCAGACTTCCAAGTCCCATCCCAGTCTTAGGAATCAGAAACTCTTGGGGTTGGGCTGTATTTTAACAAGTCCTCTAGAGTATAGGTAATTCTAAAGTTTGAGAACCAGAGGTCTAATCCTTAAAGTAGACATTAGCAGTTGAACACAACATAAAAGAAAAGTAATAAGCAACATATTCTCTCTGATTTTTCTGTATCCATTATTCTGGACATTTAATTTAAGACCAATAATACTATGGGACACTATGTCAAACAGAACTTTGCCTCAATAATCTTTTTCTAAATAGACGGTTGCAATGTGATCTTAAAGACTTCTAAAGTTTGGCTTTTGCTTTTTGATGTATTAATCTTTGAAATACAGTGGGATTTACCAGTCTCTCTGCACATAAGAAGTGCGGGCTCTCTCTGGCAATTAACTAAGGTATCTGTACTCTCAGTGCTGACAATACTAAATTTTCTATATGGATCTGATTTGAAATGGACACAGGGACCCTACATTAAATCTCTGTTGTAGCTTTGGCTCAAGAAATTGCAGGCAAAGCCCTAAGCTAAGTGTCCAGGTGCGTGGGAGGGAGGTCCTGTGGGTTGCAGAAAGGCAGCCAGGGCCTGCTTGGCTCCTTAACCTCTGGGCATTACCTGGAATCTGGAATCTGGCCTGGAAAACAGAGGAAAAGTTATGTGGTCATCTATCTTATGGAGACAAAGATAGCTAGGCTAATTCTGAACGGATTTTTCCCTTAGCCTTTGAGGTTTTAAGGTTGGATATAGACTCTTTGAAACTCTCAGCATCAGGAGTTAGCAAAAGCTCATTAAGCAAGTATAAATCTGGACAATATCTTACAAGCATACCTGTCGTGGAAGTTACTGTCTCCTAATTGCTCCAGCAAATCACAATGATTTTTAACACGCTCGTGGCTTTCATGAACCACTCTTTGGAACATCTCATTCTGAAAAATAAAGATAATCAGTGTTTTCCTATCATTGTAACAATATATCTCAGGTAAAATTGCAAAACCATCTTCTATAAGAATTTACTGTAGCTGTTTTTTAAAACGCAGGGCTTTATTTACTTACTGAATTAACAAATCTTGAAAAACACATTTTGCTAAAACAGGAATGACCATGTAGATACTTTGTGGGGGAAAACGTGAGACAGTGAAATTGACATTTAGCATTCCATGATAAAAACTCGCTGTGATGAAATAGTGTATTTTACATGCATAAGCTAAATCATTCATCAAGCCAAAAAGAGATCATTAACAGTAGTCTATAGATCTAAGTTTAATTGTGTGTGTGTGTGTGTGTGTGTGTGTGTGTGTGTGTGTGTTTACCGGTTATTTTTAATAATACTGTCTTTTTACATAAACAGCAAATATAGAGAAAAAGTACAAGTAAATAAATATGGACATGTATTAAGAAGTGGTGGTGCAATAAAAACATGCATCCTTGAATACAGTAAAACACTAAACAAGTCCACATTAAATGAATCAAAGGGAATTCTCAGTAATAACTATAAATTCAGTTTTTGAACTCACAAATTAATTCTGTTGGGAAGATACACGTGACCTTGCAAGCTGAATACTTTGGTGGGACTACCAAACCAAGTCCCTCTGATCCTAATAGGCAGTGTTTGTTGTAGGGAAAAATTTTGCCCGACATGCAAACTGTTTCCCTTCCCCTCCACTCTCACCTCCACCCCACACACTATAAGTATGTAAGCCATTGGGTTAGAATAACAAAAGCCTATTTCCTGATAAACCCCCCAAAACACCAATCAAACAATCAGATGTGTAAGGCCACCTGTATTTTTTCATGTCAAATGCATACCAGGAGCTGCTACCTATATAACAATATGATTTATGGCCAGAAATAGGGACAATTTCCAGGCCTGCTTGGTAGAAATAGTCGACCTTCCCAACAGGCTGAGCTGTCATGCTACCTGCTACCATGCCAAGCAGACATTGACTTTAAAGAGGAGATTGCTCAGTGAAGCTTCCAGGACGCACAGAATCTATAGGACAGTGACTTGCACAGAGAGTCACTGTGGTATGATGATGTGGCCTTTGGTTTAGATGACAGTGATATTCCACGTGTAGTGAAATTAGCCAGAACATGTATGATCATCTTACGAAAGTAGGCAGTACTAACAGAACTGGGTTTTTTCCTGTGCTTGTAATCACTTATGAGAAATAGGTTAAGCAATAAAAAGGCATTTACCCCATGGCTATAGCATTCCAGAGGATTTTCTAATTTACAGCATTTTCCCAATAACTTTTGATATACTGAATCCACTCTTAAAATCACTGGAACTGCCAACTCTGGATGTCTTCTTGAATATTCATAAAGAAACCTGTGTCCATATGAACATATTTGAAAGTAAACAGTAAAATTCAAAGGTGATGAGTTTTCTTTCAAAAGCCAATTATAATGTATTCAATATTTAACTGTCCTTAAATATTTAGAAACCTTAGGAGGCTGAGAGGTAATTTTATTGACTACATTTTGAGGTAAGGAAGCCAAATCAATAAATACATATAATGTTTTTTAAGTTACACACTAGCCAAGTCAGGATGGCTCAGTAGTTGACTGTTGACCCATGAAACAAGAGGTCACTGGTTCAATTCCCAGTCAGGGCACATGCCCAGGTTGCAGGCTCTATTTCCAGTAGGGGGTGTGCAGGAGACAGCCAATAGATGTTTCTCTTTCATCAATGTTTCTATGTCTTTATCTCCCTTCCTCACTCTCTAAAATCAATAAAACATAGTAATGAGTGACGATCCAAACTTGAAACTCAAATATTCTAATTAGCTGATAGTTCTTGGCTTAGAATCTCCAGTTACTTTCATTAGAAATTAATTTCAAGTTAACTTATTAACTCGGGGGAGAACACATTTTTCTCAATGATAGTTGAGGTTAGATTTTATAAGCATTACAATTCTTTTGAAAGAAGTGCTGACTAGCTAGATATTAAATCACCATCTTTCGTTCTTTTCCTTCATGCATAATCTACACATTCTTCTAGGTTACAAGAAAGTAAATTTGAGTCTAGGATATTTTCAAAGGAATCAGAATTGCAGGAGGTATCTTAGAAGTCATCTTATTCAACCACCTCAGTGTACTGTCGGATCACAAGAGCCTGAAGAAATTTCGTGGTTTGACCAACATGCCAAATGGCAAAGGTGGACTGGAAATCAAGTCTCCCAACTCATAGTCTAATGTAAAAAACACTAAAAAGCTAGGCCTATCAACTTTTTCAGTACCAGATGCAAGTTTAGGAATAAGTAGGTTCAGGAAGAAACACTTTTTAATCCAATATCAAATATAAATTCTGAAACATATCTATGGACTTTCTACAAATCCAAATAATATTTCACAAAGTGATCTTGGAAATATTTTAACCATACAATAATACTGAAATCAGTTTGTCTTAAGCACAAATTAATATGCACTTGTGAATGGATACCAGAGATATTAATACTCCATCTGTATCTCTCATCTTTAAATGCCACACTATAGCCTTGAGAGTAAGTATTAATTAAAATAGAAGAATTGCCCTAGTTGGTTTGTCTCAGTGGATAGAGCACTGGCCTCTGGACTGAAGGGTCCCTGGTTCAAATCCAATCAATGACGCATGCTCCTGCTGTGGGCTTGATCCCCAGTAGGAGGCAGTCAATCCATGATTCTCTCTCATCTTTGATGTTTCTTGCTCTCTCTCCCTTCCTCTCTGAAATCAATAAGAAATATGTTTTTAAAAAATAATAATTAAAATACAGTAGAAGAGCTGACCAGATATATCATTCTAGAGCTCTTACTTATAGGACTCTAAGTCCATTAGAGAAAAGGTTGCAAACATTTGATTCCCACTGCATTTTTAAAAAAGTTCCTGAGTTAGTTGTCAACATTTAAAAATTAAAAGACTCCCAGAATCTCTCAAAATGCAGTAGACCTAACCACCCAAAGCCTGCATTCCAATATAGTAACTTGTGGCTGGAGTTATGTAGTGCTGCCAACTTTGGGCTCCACAAAACATCTCCTGTTGCTCACAGTTTCCATTTAGTTGCTCATTAACATCATTGGGTAACCATTGTCATCATTTAAGTTTACAACTCTATATACCATTTTAAATAATCCATAAATATAATATCCCATCATTAAGATTTTACAAAAATCTGTATTACTCTTGTAGGAAATCGTCTTGCTTGTCAGAGAACTGTTTGCATACAAATCGATCCTCTGTAAACATGCTGAGTTGCAGGGATGAAAGATGAGGTTTATTGTCATTTTCAGAGTTGATAACACATTCTCCTCTGAATGGCACTGGCAGTGCACAGCATGGAGTGATCTTGCTGGATAGGAAAGTCTGTTTAGAGCAGGTATAGTTCATCAGCTGGCTCTAAAACAGAAAAGGGAGCAGTTGTTTTTGAAGATTTTATTCTAATGTATTTATTTATTTGTTTGTTTGTTTGTTTATTTGTTTATGTTATTAATAGGACACAAGAGAAAAAAAAAACTTTTCATCTTATATTGCTTTATCTTTGGCAAACTGAGACCAAAAAAATCATTTGTAGTGACTCATTCTAATTAAAAAAGCTTTTCTTTTTTTATCTTACTCAAGTGTCACAATTTCTTTTAAATAGACCATATTGTTGTTTCTATGTTTAGATCAACAAAATACAAATGAAGAGCTTTATTATCTTGCTATTGTTACTATTGTTGTAAGATATCTATTTAGGAAACATTTGTCTCTGTCATTTACTACATATCTATATAATAAAAGGCTAATAAACAAATTGACCAAACAGCAGAATGACAGGTCGCTATGATGCACACTGGCCACCAGGGGGCAGACACTCAATGCAGGAGCTGCCACCTAGTGATCAATGTGCTCCCACATCTGGGTTCATGGCTGGTGAGTGCAACAGCAGTGGCAGGAGCCTCTCTCACCTCCATGGTAGTACTAAGGATGTCCAACTGATGGCCTAAGCAATCAGTCAGACATCCCCCAAGGGCTCCTGGACTAAGAGAGGCCACAAGCTGGGCTGAGGAACACACACCATCCCCCGAATGCACAAATTTTGTGCATTGGGCCTCTAATATTACAATAATATTACTATTATACTTACATACATTTACCTATCTATATATATGCACACATAGATAATTGTGTGTGCGCATGAATAAGCTAGTCTCTACACTTAAGCAACTCACACAATCTACTTGGAGAATCAAACAATTAAACAATAATAATGCATTATAACAGAATTTGTAAGAAAGGTATACTAGTATATATGATACTTAGGAAGAAAAAAACAATATGTAGTGTGAATATCTTGAATAATTTGAATCTTAAAGGACATATAGAAGTTAGTTGGAAACAAAAGAAGAGGAAAAACATTCTAGAATCATTCATCCTTATATGTAAAGATTCTTAGAGGTAAGGGAAAACTGTCACACCAGTTTCTGTCTTCATCCCTGTTCATTTCACAGACAAGTTCTTTCAAACCTTCACAGAAAGGTAAGTCTCAATATTATTTAATTTATGTCAGAAAATTCAAAAGGATAATAATTCTAATTCATTATTTAGAATTTAACATAACTAAATACCAAAATCTGATAAATGATAATTACTTTTTCAGATTCATTATTTACCATTCTCACCTTTATTTAAGCAATATAGGGTTTTTTAATTAACTAAGTGGGGTGATATTTGTTAATAACATTATGTAAATTTCAAGTGCACAATTCTGTGATACATCATTGCATTGTATGCTCAGCACCCAACATCTACTACCATATAGTTGACCCCCTTTAACCTCTTCATCCTCCCCCCCCACCCCATTCTTCTTTCCTTATGGTAAGAATTATAAGTATTTTAAAGGCTGGTGTGAATTTTGAGAAGACAGAAGATCTTACCCTGCCAAACACACATGCTACTGCATTTCCTTCACAACAGGTCTGATGAAGGTTTTTAATAACAGCAGCCAGTTTGGCAATTTCAGAAAAGTTAGCATTAGGTTGTTTTTTAGTCAAAAGAACCAATTCCCTGAAGGAAAAAAAAAACATTTTAAACAATATTGTAAACTTGATCATTTTTGAAGTTAGTTCTAGTTCATTGAGTAACCGAAAGGATAGAAACACATTGTAAATGTAGGGTGAAGAGTGTATTCTAAATGCTTTCTATTTCTTCAATGATGGCACCCAGAGTCATACAATATCTAAGTTACAAAACAAACATAATTTAACTCATAGTCATGGACAATGTAGTCATTTTAATCATTTAAATTATTGCTTAAAGACTTGAGCTGCCTAGAGTAGTGATTTGGGTATTTATCTGATCTGATTTTCCAAGTAAAATTCTTCATCACAAAGACAATAAATACAGGAGCCTTGGGTCTCCCTTGCCTTTTTCTGTTGACAACTGAACAACATCCCTGAAATTTCTTGGGAAATAAAGAAAATGCGCCTGCCCTGTAAGGAGAACTGATCTTCTAGGCAGCTCAATGTTGTCCTAAATTGTAGAGGAAGGTAATATAAGGCAGATGCATGTTTATAGGGGCAATTTGAGCAGAAACACAATGTAGGCCCAGAAAGAGGCATATTGGGTAACATCAAATTCTTCTCCCACTTCCTCCTCCTCCATTCCCACCCCAAGAAACACCACTGACTTCCTCTATTCTCTGTAACATTGAAACCAATGTTTTCCTATCTTATCAGAAAAAAAAGAATAGCTTTTGTCCTCCAGCCTTTACCATGCAGAATAATTAAGTACCTCCTTCTGTATGTTGTGCACTGAGGAAGAGACTAAGGGTGAGCAGATAGAAAAAACTGAGGCAGGAGATAATGAGAGGAGATGACAATTGAGCAATTTCATGCCCAGTCCTGTGTGCCCTATTGCACAGGCAGGGTAAGTAGCATATGTGTAGAGAAAAGAACCTGGTCTGTTCTGAGAGACATTATTAAATGAAAAATAAATGATTTTTCAAATGAGTTTAATCAACAGGGGTGATCCAGAAACAGCAAAGTCCAACAATCTGAATAGGTAACTTACACTGCTTGTGCTACTTTGTGGTTGAATTTAGTCCCAATTTCACATAAATGATGATGTCTCAAAGATATTTCTCTAATGTATTTTGCGATGGGTTGTAGCTGTAATTAGAAAAAACAAATCTCAGAGAAATATGGTAGTTATTTTCATCATTCGTAAAGAAAAGAAAAAGCAAAAATTGTGTTTTGAAAATTTTTTCAAAATTAGAAAAAAATTAGTGTCAAATTTAAAGAGGCCAAATGCAACAGCATAATTTTGGGGGGGGGTTTTGTGAGATATATATATATATATATATATATATATATATGCATCTTTCTTTCTCATAGATCACTTGTTCCAGTGATAAAACATTTGGAATGTAAATGAGAACAAGAAACTGAGCAAAGGGAAGTCCAAAGAGCCACTAGAATACATTTGATATTACTTACAGTTGTATTTTGGTTTTATTCAAGTAACTCACTCTTTCATCTTGGACATGTGTCCAAGTGTTATCTATAATATATGTTTTCATTTTACAATATATATTAATGCAGTCCCCTCAAATATGTTAATTCTTTAACTCGGGATTTTTACTTTTGAAACAATTGCAAATAAACTTTTCTAAATAAATAAAAATGAAATTATTCAAAAAATATATTTTATGATAACAAAAATTTGGAGACAAATAAAATGTTTCAATAGCAGAGAGGTGGTTAATTTAAAAATAGCACATTTTTCAAAAGATGTATATTTCTAATAAAAAGTAAGATGTCTTAGTCTCTATCAAAACTCTATATTTAGTTAGTGTGATTTCACAATGTACAAAATAAAATCTGTAAAGAAAAAAAATACCAAATTCGATATTTCTGAGTGGTGAGAATATAAGTAATAGTTTAAAATTTCAGAAGCAGTCTATATTTCCACTGAAAACATTATATTGACCACATAATGCTTTTACTTTGGGTAACTGCACCTTACAATTGTATTTTTAAGAAGAAATTAGAAAATATATACAAAGGAAATATTCAAACTACAAAACTGATACAATAATTATAATTACATTTTTATAATTAATTATAAACTAGAGGCTTGGTGCACAAAATTTGTGCGCAGGGGGTGTGTCCCTCAGCCTAGCCTGCACCCTCTCCAATCCCAGTAGGATTGGGCCTAAACGGGCAGTCGGACATCCCTCTCACAATCAGGACTGCTGGCTCCCAATTGCTCACCTGCCTGTCTTTCTGATTGCCCCTAACCACTTCTGCCTGCCAGCCTGATCACCCCCTAACCACTCCCCTGACAGCCTGATTGATGTCTAGCTGCTCCCTTGTCAGCCTTATTGTCCCTAACTGCCCCCTCTGTCAGCCTGATCACCCCTAACTGCCCTCCCCTACAGGCTTGATCACCCCCAACTGCCCTTCTTTACCGGCCATCTTGCATAGCTATCTTGTGTTCACATTGGGGCAGCCATCTTGTGTGTTGGAGTTAGTCAATTTGCATATTACTCTTTTATTAGATAGAATATCCTTTTTGTCTTTAATAATACACATTTGAAATTAAGTACAAACAAGCTTATTTATCTATGCATAAAAGCTTAAGTGACCATTATGACTGGTCAACCAGTTGCTATGATGCACATTGACCACCAGGGGGCAGACACTCAACTCAGAAGTTGACCCCTGGTGATCAGTGCACTCCCACAACCAACCTCCTGCAGGAGCCAACCTCCAACCTCCTACAGTCCCTCTCCCTGGCAGGCTAGCCCTAATCAGCCCCAATAAGGACTGGGCAAGAAGGCTATAGTCAGCCTTGATCACCAGCCAGGTGAGGGACCCCACACATACACAAATTTGTGCACTGAGCCTCTAGTTTATTTATAAGAGAGCTTCTGAATATTTAGTTCATAAGGTTGTGTCTGATCACAGATATAATTTTTTCACAGTTGGTTATGTAATTTTTTCTGAGGTTGGGAGCCAGAACTGCTAGGAACAGACATCTTGGAAGCAGTGAATCTAAATATCACAAAACAAGGTAGAGAAGAAAAGAACTCTTAGCTAACTTAAAATCATTTGCTTATGCTTAACATTATAGAGGCACATTATACATGAAGGAAAAATTTTCATTGCAAGGGTTAAGGTTAAGAAAACTTTGTAACTTAAAATAGTAAGCAGCAGGTTACCTTGAAAATGCATCTTCATGAAAATGCTCATTCTTTAGAAATACCAGATAATGAAACATAAGTTTGCGTGATCATTTATTTTTTGTTTTTTATTAATATGAAACCAAAAGCAATAAAAAAGACTGTCCTACTAGGAATACAGAATTGGCTTCTGAAAGAATTGGTGTTCATTAAGAGAATGAAG